AATAATAATAATAATAATATAAAATTTATTATATAATTTATATTATTATTTATTATATCTAAAATAATTCAAATTTTATAAAAAATATAATACTATTAACAGTTTTACCAAAAATTACAGCTTCATATATTATAGGTAAAACTAACTAAACGTTGACAAAAAATTTATGAAATAATAAACTACACAAAATGTCAACTTTTATACAAATTAAACACAATATTCATAATGTCAGACAATATTAAAAAAAAAAACATTTTTATTAAGACTAAACGTTATTTAAACAAAATAAGTATGCGAACAGTTATAATTAATTATCGTTCAAGTATTTAAAATGCAATAGTGTCACTAATTCCAATATCATTGATAATTTTTGTAACTGATAGAGGAATTGTACAATATTATTGTAAACTATTTGCACAATAATATGAAATTGTACAACAGTCTCTACTGCTTTGTCTTCTGCCCAATCAGAGAGCTTGATTTTTTTTTCTATTGTTCTCGGCTAAGTGAACTATCTGTTTTCATATAGTCTGTGATAATTGCATGAAAAAATAAATATAGTTTAAAAAACTAAAAAAACACGCTTTTAAAGTACATCGAACTAAAAAGTTAAAAATAATTTTTAAAATAATTATGAACAAAAAATACTAGTATTATTGTGATAAAAGCGTCGGGCGCTCAATATACGAAAAATATGGCACAAAGCACCCACGCTTTTATCACAATAATACTAGTATTTTTTGTTCATAATTATTTTAAAAATTATTTTTAACTTTTTAGTTCGATGTGCTTTAAAAGCGTGTTTTTTTAGTTTTTTAAACTATATTTATTTTTTACTTTTTAGTTTCATGTTATGATAGTAGTTACTATCAATATCATGGTTGTTACGGGTAACGGGAAATCAGGGTTCGATTCCGGGGAGGGAGTCTGAGAAACGGCTACCACATCCAAGGAAAGCAGCAGGCGCGTAAATTACTCACTCCCGGAACGTGGAGGTAGTGACGAAAAATGACGATACGGAAATCATCCCTCGTAATCGGAATGAATACTTTATATCTCTTAATTAAAATAAAGCGTGTTAATATATAAATTTTAATAGTAATTAGAATATATATATATATATATATATACAAGTAAAGCGACTTAAGTACGTAAACGTATCATGCACTAGGTATAACCGTATTTTGTGGGTGGGCGGGTCGGACTAACGTTATACCTGAGGTATAAACGGTGGTAGGAATATATAAACATATATACGTAAGGCGCATTAGACGCGGGCGGTATTGGTCAGTCAAAATAAAAATTTGTTTATATATATATAATATTGATGACAAACACGCGTGTACGGGTACGATAACTAAAAATAAATTTTTATAGGAATAGTGTGCCGTCATGAGGTGAGCGTGGCGTGGGGAGGGGTGAATGCGTATAACAGTCTAGTCTAGACGACGGAATATGCGATAACGCGTGGCGTTTGGAGAGTTACAAACATACATACATACATACATACATACAGGTGAAACTAATATAAGCGTGTTTTAAAAATGTAATAAACCAAACCTATTACGGTAGGTATTGCCTATATTTTTTTTACATGCAATTTACCGTACTTATACACTATAACACATTTTGTTTTTTATTTAAATATGTGGTCACACTGAATACCTCAAATCTTTATCGATGTTATATGATCACTGTTAGATTAGAAAATAGAGCCATTTTTTTCATCCCTTCCACTAATATCATCCGTTTTTTGAATTTTAACGGTTATGTTGTGTTTACTGCTTATTGTTTGACCAAATAACAATAGGTAGGCAATTTTGCCGTCTTACACATGGCACTTTTTTTCTAAGTAATTCAGGTACATTGAACTATGTAATAAGATTTGTTAAGTATCATTTATTTACCTGTTGTTTAAATACTATCATTTACGTATCTTCTTCATAATTGTTATGTTTTTAATATCATAAAAATTTAAATTATTTCTACAAATTTATCGTTTGTAATTTGAATAATATAAAAAGATGATGCGTCGAAAATTGAGTTTCATCAACAATGAATGTTGTAAACCTATGAGGATGACGGAGAGCATTGTGGAAGCCGATATTCAACGTCAAATGCGAGATAGATTTGATGAAGAATGTCCTTACTCATTGTCAAGAAGAAGTCCTAAATCAAGAAATTGTAATTCACAAGTATGGCAAGTAGCAGTTAACACAGTTACAAAAAAGAGTGATGCCCTCAAACATAGTATGAATTCAGTTTTTAGATCAATGAATAAATTAAGAACTGGTTTTAAAATGGCTACTCAAGTAAATGAGTTATTTTCTATGTTTTATCATTAGCATCTTTTTTTATTAATATCCCATTTTTTAGAAATTACGGCCAACTACAAGACGTCGTTTTAAATTAGATGAATCACCTTTAACTCCTAATACACCCAAAACACGGTCCAAATGCTTATTGGGTAGGACTCCCACTAAAATGTATAGCCCTTTTGCTATTGATACCCCACCATCTTTGCGTAGAAGATTTGCATATCGAAGGAATCAAAATTTAGATTCTGAAAGGTAAACATTTAAATTATATTTTATAAAAAAAATTTATACTTAATTTAAAAAATTGTTGAATTATTTTCTTTTTTTGTAAAATTAAATAATTTAAATAACTAAATAATTGTGTTTTAAATTAATTTTTGTCTGCTCATTATTAATGTCTATTTTGGAGTTAGATATTAAACAGCCATTTTCTCATATTTTTGATACTTCATTTATGTATATTTTGCTTGATCAAAATTGTGTTATGCTTTGTTAAATATTTTATGAGGTTTGATACAATTTATGAAGTTATATAGTATTTCACATAAAATAGCTTAAATTGGAAAATGTTCACCATAAATTAAAAATGTACAGATACTTTATTAACTATTACAGACATGCTCAAAAAGAGTACTATTTTACTAACCACATAACTGATTTATGCACATACACAGTATGAATTATGTTAGTTAATAATAAAATAGAATTTCATAATTGATTTAAATTATTTTTAAATAAAATATTATGGACCTAATTTTTACTAGGTAAGCTTAATTTTGCTAAAATATTTATCAGTCATGAGCATTCTCACGAGGAATAGCAACATTTTTTTTATACATATCTCCCAAAACAAAATCCTAAAAATTTCATTGATATTAGCAGTCTCCTAAAAATATTATAAAATATAAATTTGTTAAAAATCTAGAATACTTTAGGGAAAGAAATAATTTTGTTAATTATAATAAATAAAAACAGGATATGAGCTAAACAAATAAAAAATATTTTAGTTTATGTAACTTATAAATCTTTGATTCTTGAATATTCAATATGGCATAACATTTATTTTAGAGATACATTATAGGTAAATCTATACTCAATTGGTATTATATTACTTTATATAAACATTAAAATTACAATATTAATAATATATAATCTATTAATATTATCAAAATTAATCCTTAATTTTCTAATTTCTTTTTCTTTTCTAAGTAACAAATCTGTGAATGGGAAGAGTGAATCTTATAGTGATAATTTGATAAACAATGAAAATAAGCAGCCTAACATTAAACCTAAGGTACCAAATGAAAATTATGGCAGCTTAATATAATCATTAAGAAATGTAACATTTTTGTACTTTTTTACTTAATGCTATTGACATATTATTATATTATTTATTTATATATATATATATGTGTGTGTGTGTGTACAATTATGTTCTTTTTCTATACATTAGAAAACATGGTATGATAACTTAAAATTATTGAGTCATTTTTCATTATTATATTAATTTTAAGAAATTTTGAATCTTAAAAAAAAAAATTTTAAAGTAGTCAAAATGTGTTTTATGAAACATTTTCATTAAAAAAAAATACTATTAAAAGCTATAAATAGTATTTATTTGCATTCCTTTAAGTTTTATACTTAATAAACGAATTGTACATTACTAATTCTAGTTTTATTAAATTCTACATACATTATTTTTATTTTAAATTATAAAATAAATGAAAAATTCAAGATGGATTAATTTGACAAATTTAATCATTTTTCTACATTTATTATTGGCCTTTAATTGATTATATAAAATTTAATATTAATTACATTACCATTCATGTTTACTTGAATTTGTGCAAAATTAATCTAGGTGATACAAAGTTTATTTGCATACATTTAAGTAATTTTAAAATAAGTGTTAGTTTTATAATTTAAATACTATTATTATGATTTAACTATTATATCCAAATTCATGCTTAATTTTTATTGCTCTTACATTTTATTTATAAATGTTATGATAATTGGTTTTTATAATTTATTGTTTTTTATCATAATTTTCATTTATTATGAATGTTGTAATAAAAATGTCTATGAAATATTGAAGTATTTAGCTTACAATTTTATTTATATCATTTAAGTAATCATATATATATATATATATGATAAATAAATAATAATCAGTTTTACATCCTTCTATTTCCCAAATTTAATATACTACAATGATTGGTGACAATTTTAATAAAATATTTTCATTAGTCAACATCCAACTTCTTAAATGTTCCATCAATACTCAGATCATCAGTTTTAATATATTTGAAGCATTTTGACAAATCAGCTTTAGGTTAATTGTCCATCCATTTTTTATTTTCAAGTAAATATTCTATCCATTTATCTGTAAAATTTAAAAAATATATCTCGATTCAGAAGGTATATTTATTTGAAATTTTATTGTTACCTTCAATTTTTTCAATTCTACAACCATCTCCACCATAATACTTTGGTAAAACATATTTAAGAATGTACATATAGAGAGTATCAATAGTTTCATGCAATTTCAACTAAATAAAAGTATTTTTAGCATAGATCTAATTTTTGTATTAAAAATATATTAATAAAAAAAAAATTTTTTTTTTTTTTTGTTCTAAAAATCTAATTATACAGGTATATAAGAAATAGCTCAATTGTTACGTAGAATAAGAACATAAAAATCCGTTACCTTTCTTACTAAATACTATATATTAGAACAATATTATAATTTTATATTATGAATTATTTTGGAAGTCTATAATAATTAAATCAAATAATATTTTGAATTACCGTGATAAATAAGTAATTAATTATATTAACAAAAATTATACCTCTCAATAACCGTGTTTCATGTATTGTGTTAAAAATATTAACTCTATTTTTTTATTAAGGACTCAATATTATCAAATTCTATGAAAGTAAACATGGATATTATAAAATTATAATTATTTTCACTCCAAAGTTTCAATAAGTAACTTAAATTGTGTAATTAATTTTTGATAAATCTATTTGTAGGTGCAATTAGTATATAATATTGTATGTATTAAATACAAATACATCAAATTAATTAAGACATACCTTATCCTTTAATTCATTTTGTAAAAACAATTTAAAAAAATTCAAAACGCGTCCTATGAATTTTGGTGGGTTCACGTAATGAATTCCCTTTAGTCTAAACGGTAATGCACCCTGAAAACATAATTTATACGTTAATATTTACTTATTAATGAATTATTTTAATATTACTTACAAGAGTACATCGCAATAGAATTTTCACTTAATAGGGGGTATTATTGATAAGAATTGCTATAAACGCAAATATTCTAAACCAATAATAATTTAATTTCCAAATATTGGTCTATTTTTCAATTGCATATCCAGGTATGCGATAATTACTTTTATTACTAATGGTACATTCATATTATCTTCATCAGTTGTATAGTGAGTCCTCAAACACATAATTCTATTGCAATCTGATGTCAATTTCGAATACCTATAACAAAATTAAACATTTAATAAATATTTTTTATTTTACGTTCAGGCTTAGTTTTATGTCATTTAAAATTTTCAATAGTGGTTTAACAAAAAATATATTGAAATATCTTATCTCATTTTATATATTAAAATTTGTAGCATCGTTTTAAAATGTTTGTCCCAGATATGACTTAATTTTTTATGCGCTTAAATAATTTTATTCAAAAAATAATTAATTTTTGTTGGGCCACAAAACCTAAATCAATTTTTGGAATAGGGTAATGTAAAAATTATTTAACTTTAAATGGTATTTTTTTATATTAATTACTATATTAAATATTCAATATCAATTTAATACTAAATTTAATTACTATAATAAGTATTTATTTGTGTGTTATGTTTATAAATCATAAGTAAAACTTGTTTTCAGATATAAATAGGGAAATAGGTGTTTATATTTCTTTTGGACTAATACATCGATTTCTTAAAATGAAATCTATAGATTTGCATCTAAGCGTTTCTTATGATAGTGATTTTATTCATAGTCATATATCAAGTGTAAAATCTAATTTTTATTTTTACCCTAGTTAAATCTAAATTTTGCTATTAAAAAAAATAAAATTGTCACCCTTATAAGATGAATTATAAAAATACTTAATAATTGACAAATCGAGAAATATATGAAAATAAAACTAATTATTTGTTTAACATGATTATTATTTTAAGAGAATTAGAATGGCTAGCTTAAAAGGATCACCCTTTATACTTGTATCAGTATTATGTATTTATAACATTGTGTCTAATGTAAGTATAACATGATAAAAAGTAACTGTAAAATGGAAAAAATGAAAAATAAATTTTAGTACTCATATTAAATGAAAAAATAGAAGATACCTTTTTTGTTTAAAATTGTCTTTTAAACAACTTTTGTACGAAACCTTTTTGGAAGTTAATTATTTTTTGAGAAAATTAAAAAAGCTCATATTTTTTAACTTTTTCAAGACTGTAAAAAAAAGGTCAATTCCATTCGATGAGGACTTTTAATATGTCATTATACATATCTCAATTCAACTTTAAAAAAAAAAAATTTTGTTGGGAATTCTTTCCGTTATTCGCCAAAATTATTCCTTCGTTGACTGGCCTATTATTAAAGATTATAAAAATATTTGTATTTATTAATTTAAATACTCTAATAAAAAAAAATTGTCCCGACACCTTATCTTCTATGCAATTGTTATTTTAAAAAAACATTTTTGTATTAAATTTCTGATTTTATATATTATAAAACTTTATATTATTAAAAAAAAATGTTTAAGGAAACTTTTTCCCAAATTTGATCTCATCCCTTTATACAATGAAGAATATGAGCTTGATAAATACGTATAAAGAGTAGGAATTTTTAAATTTATTTTTAAAAATGTTCCAGAAATTCTATGCCGGACCTGACTGTATCTGGTTTCTAATTTATAAAAATTTTTCATAAAAATGTAAAGACTGAATGAAAGTAAAATTGATTGATTAAAATTAATCTTAGTTATTTGTATGAATAATATTGAAATATTTATCTAAATATACAGAATGTATAAAATCAGGATTAAGCATAGGCCACTCAAATTCTTGGAAACTATTAAAAATTTATAATTTCTGCAGAGTAAAATAAATATTTATTCAAAAACTCTTTATTTTGTATGAATAATAAGTTATCATACATACCAGATTTTTGTCAGTGTTATTATCAATACTACCAAAAGCACATTAATCGTTTTTAAGGCATAGTTTGCTTATAGAAATACCACTTATCATAATTGTTTGCGTTTCAGTTATAAACTTAAATGTCATATTAAAGAACAATAATTTAGTAAATAAATTCGTAAAGAATTGATAAAGCACTTTAAAAAAATGGTTTGTTAAATAATAACACGTTGCACAACTATTAAGGCGTGGGCACGGGTTAAACTTAATATAAAATGGTTAATTTATTGACATAAAATGTTGTAAATATTATTTTTATACATAATGGAAACATTTAAGAGAGTAAGACTAAAAAAATTAAGACTAAAAAGAAGCTCAATTCCAATCGATGAGGACTTTTAAAATGTCATTATACATATCTTAATTCAACTTTAAAAAAAAAAATTTTGTTGGGAATTTTTTCCGCCATATTTTCTTTGTTGGCTGGACAACTGGATAAATTTTTTATTTAAGTAAAATAATCAATAAACAATTTTTGAAAAAGCTTGGATCTAAATTAAAAATAAATTGGTAACTGTTATAGTCGACAAAATAACAATCATCAAACTTACTATATAAAAAACTTACAAGAATAACTAAAACAACTAAAATATGACGAATTGAAAAAAATATATAAATATTATTTCTCATAAAAAAATTATAATAATCCATACATTTTTCAAAAATGATAGTGATATAAAGTTAAAAACATAAAAAACCCAGCACAGGGAGGTCGCTGCATAGTGGTGACGTGGCATAGTTGGATCAAGTATAATGATATCTGACAATGATTAAAATCACTATAAAAAAAAACGCTTCGATGCAAAACTTAAGATAGTGTTTAACTTTAAAAAATTAATGGATTATTCCAAAATCTACATGATCTATTTCCTTATTAATATCCTGATTAAGATAAAGTATGTCAAATGAAAAAGGAATTATTAAAAAATATTTCTCATAAAAAAAATTGTGTTGATCCATACACTTTTCAATAAGTAATAACATTATAGAGTAAAAAATGTAAAATATAAAATCGAGAATTTTCACACAAAAATAAAATCCGAAATTTTTTTTTCAATAATAAAGTATATTATATAAGCTTTAATTTAAGGTATATATAAAAGTGTCAGTATTTCCGGAACACTTTCAAAAGTTAATTTTTAATGAAAAAGTTGTCATTTTGAATCCCTCTTGTGAGCAGATAAAGGGTTAGATTTATAAAAAAAAAATTATATTGTTTTGGTCATTTTTAAAAAAGTTATGACAGTTTTAAGTAAAAATAATTGAAAAAAAGTAAAAAATTAGCGATTTTTAAATTTGTAATTTTTTTGGAGATTTCCTCCATTTACGGGGAACGAAGATTCGTATCGAAGCTAAAAAAAACACATTATAGTAAAATTAATATTTTCTCAGCTTCGCATTGAAGCTAAAATGACAAATGCTTCCTGTCAAAAAATTTGAAAAATGACGAAACAGGTGATGCAAAATTTAGTTAAAATATAAAAAATAAAAATTAAGAAATTTCCTAAAAATTACTAATATACAAAAGTTGTTAAATTAAAACTCCTCTTTAAACGATAATGGTAAGAATTTGAAAATAAAGTGTTTCAATGAAAGATTAAATTATCCTAATGAATTAATAGGTTAAAACTTCTTGTTTCTTATACAAGCTTTTTTTTAAGGCAAAATACTTTGTTTATTTGGTTTATTATTATAAGTTTTTATTAAATTAGTAATAATTATTATAATATATTCCAAAAACACCAATGATTTAAATAAATATTCAGGGGTCTAACTCATTCACATTACTGTATGAAATCACCATTGTGTATGATATATACTATTTTTAATATATAGATATATGGGTAGACTAAGAGACTGATAAAGGTCACAATAATTATAGCGATCCAGCTCGCTCCAAAAAAAGAAATTATAAAATAATCATAGAAAATGAAAATTATTATTTTTAATCAAAAAGAGATATGGTAACAGTTTTCTTAAACGATTCATATTTTATAAAGTTACTATACTTACATTACAAAGTAGATTAAACATTTTATATAGTAAGATCAATTATTAAAATGGTTATAGACGTTATCTAAAATTTTAATCAAAACGAGGCTTAGAAATTTATAGTTGCTCTAAAGACTTTTTTTATATTATTATTTAAGGCATTGAATAATAAGTTATACAATAAAAGTTCTTATATGAACTTGCTGAATGGAATAGATTATGTAATTATAAGATTTAAAAATTATTCAATATAATAGTACATAATATAAAATATCAGAGCATATAATATAATAGATGTATAACAGCAACGGGTCGCTTAACCATATAGACAGCAAACAACAGTTAAATCTTGAACATTTATACAAAAGGCTGTATTGCATTTACTTACATAAGTAAAAGTACATTTTAAACTGTTAAATGTACTAAAATAATACTACTGAACCCAATGTGTTGTTTAATAATATCAACACACTCCCTTAAATAATACACCCGTACATAGTTAATTAAAAAAAAATGATTTATCTAATTCCTAAACTTTCTCTGAGTTTAAAATCTTGTAGGTGGTGTTGGCTTAGTCAATATGTCAACTAACTGCTCTTTTCTGGTCACATACTGTAGTGAAAACATCTCTTCATTGAACTTCTCACATCTATATGTTTAGTTCGTTTATGAAATTGTTGTTTTATGAAATGTTTAACTTATTTGATGACACATTGATAGTCCGCATACAAAACAGGTGTCTTTCTCTGTATTTCCAGAAGTTCACTTGTTAGTAGCGTCAACCAAGTTAGTTCCTAGATCACTTGACTCAATGTCATGTATTCATTATTTGTAGTTGAAAGTACTACCGAATTTTTTTTGTGAACACCATGCTACTGTTCTATATGTCATCATGAAAATGTATCCTGATATTGATCATCTAATTGTTGTACCATCAACATAGTCAGCATCATTTGTTTCATACGAAGCAGCTAGACCTTATGGCAGCTAGTTATGCACTGCACTAGAATGCCGGTTTACCGCTATTATTGAAGTAGCTATTATTAAATCGCTATTATTGAAGTAAGAGAGGAGTCAACTGAGAAGATAACGGCTTACCGCACATTCAATAAGTAACGAGAGAAGACAATAATTAAATAATAAATAACCACATATATTAGAAGTTCTTCAAAGAATATCTTAAATTTAAGGGGTAACGGGGGCCCTTAAATACTAATGGCCGGCGAAGAGACATAAAACAAAATAGTTCAATGGTGTCGTACAAAGGTACGAGAACTTTGAATACAAGGGTGCAATAAAGAAATAATAAGAATAACGTCGTATAGTAGCCGAACAATATATTATTCAAGCGAAAGCGCTTGCTACAGAAAAGAATATAACACATAAAACAATTGATTGACAGACCTACGACGATGAACTGTACACGGATGACAATTGACACGGAGGACATCGATTGCCGTATTGTGTGGGCAGGGGGTGAGTAAAACAAGATGCTAGAGATCAATTGTCACAAGGTATAATATAATCAACGATTTTTGTAACTGATCTACTAGATTTTTGCTAAAAGCGTTCTGTACCAAACATCATTATTACCTATTAACTTAAGTTTCTGTCTAGAATCAAACAATAAATCATAGTTATAAGTTTCTTTTAAATATTTTAAGATGCGTTTCACCGCATTCCAACGTATTATCAGGAACTTTTATAAATAGCAACTGTCGAGATTTACAGCAAATATTATATCAGGCCATGTAATCTGGCTTAGATATAACAAACTTCTTACTGCTTCTCTGTATGGTACTTTCCGTTTTTGTAAATATTCTAATAAATTTGCATCTAATAAGTATTGTAAGTCTGCAGGAATACAAGACGTTGATTTATCCCAATTTGAACCTATCAAAAACGCGTTGGCAATATATCAACTGATGTATTAATATTGATCCATCCAATTTATGATCGATTTCAATTCCCAGAAAACTATTAAGTTCTCTAGATTTTGTCTCAAAGTCACTCTCCGTCATGTCCACTTATTCATCATTTTTTGCTGTTGTGGTCCCATCGTACAAAAGTAGTTACAATCATTAATTGTTCATTTTTATTACTTACTAAATAACGGGGATCTGCGTTTGTTTATTTTAGATTAAAGTTTAACAACAAATTTTTAATTTTTTTATTCTACCATGGGTACTTGTTTCATTCCATAATATGGATTATATTATAAGCTTTGTTAAAGTTTGCAAATTTCCATCTTCATATCCTTTTGGCTAGTTAATGTAAATCTCTTTTTCAAGATCATGATATAAAATGGCTTCTTGAATATCAAGTTATCTAAGTTTTAATTTTCTGTCTGCTGCTATTGCTAGTAATACGAGTATACAGTCATACTTTACAAATGGACTAAAAGTTTCTTAAAAATCAATTCCATGCACTTGTGCATAGCCTTTTATTACTAATTAAACTTTAAATCGATCAATTTCTCTATTTTTCTTAAGTTTGATTTGAAATACCCAATCACTGTTTTTTTATTTATTGTTAAACCTACTAACTTATACGTTGCATTTTTTTAAATAATATTTCTTCATCTATTGCTTTTTCTAATTTTCGAATTTTCTTGTGTTATAACTCCTTCATATGTAATTGAATTATCATATTTTGAATAAAATGTTTCTATTCTATATTTTATAGGTTTTTCTATATTACATCTATCTCTAAGTCTCAGTTTTGATTGTTCTTGAGTCTGATCTGCTGATTGATTAAATTCATTCACATATTATTTTCTTTCAATATTATTCTCATCATCAATGTTATTATCTTCACTTTCGACCATCGTTTTTGAATTAATTTTTTTATCTTCTAATCTAATTTTTATCTCCATTTCTGTAGCTTCTTTGAAAATAAGATCTTTGTTTAATGAATCTATATATCAAAGCCTATAATAATATCCTTCATTTTCATTTTTTAATTCCATTTTTAATGTTTTTCTTTTAGTATATAAACTTAACTATAAAATACTTTTAATTTGCTTATATTGAGCTTTTTATTATACTATAATTCATAAGGTATTTTTTTCTTTGTAAACTAAATTTTCCGTACGATTCAATACATATACAGCTGTATTTACTGCTTCAGGCCAAAAATGTTTTGACAAATGTGTATTGTACAACATAGTTCTAGATATTTATTTAATTGAAAGCATTATTCGTTCCGATTCACCATTTTGCTGTGGTATATATGGTACGCTGGTTTCATGTGTTTATACTAAATTTAAGAATTAATTATAGCTTTCTTTTACTTCTGATTTTTGTTTTATAAAATATACTTATGTATACTAAGACTAATCATCTTAGAATATAAAAAATATTTTTACCATAAAGAGAATTTTCTCTCGTGGGTCCACAAACATCACTGTAAATTTTGTGACCTGCTTTTGTTGTTTTGGTACTGTTCAGTGTAAATGGTTCTCTATTTTGTTTACCACTAACCCAAACTTCGCAGAAAAATTTGTGTCTGTTTCCATGAATTAAATTCCCTTATGCTTTAGATAATTCCTAACATATTGAACATTCTAATGATCTAGTTTTTATGCCACTGCTCTTATGTAAAAATTTATTCAGAAATATTCACTTGATCTATCTCTTGTGAAATTTCAGTTTAATATATAATATAAGCAACTATAACCAACCATAGATTAAGAATAAACTTTTATGTTTTACAATAAGATCCAAAAATAAAGTTGCGAATGTATAATGATTTATTCATTAGAAAATATGAGATTTACTATTATAAAATAACAGACTTATTTAAAACAACTAAAAATTTTTCCTAATATGCGGATTTAATAGTGAAATGTTCCAAAAATTTCAATTTCTCAAGTACTCTAAAAAAAAAAAAATTAATTTTGATTTTGAAAATTAAAATAACTCTTATGAAAATAATCTATGAAGTTATAAGAAATTCTACCTTTTTTTAAATTTTTCTTATCTTGATTAAATATTACATTTAAGTTAATCAATTAAACCTTGATACATCAATATTTTAAACCTAATATATATTTAAAAAATATTAATATATTAAACCTAGTCTATTATTATTCAATTTTTGTAGTATATACAAAATTGTTCATTATTTTTATATTGTAGCATAAATTAACATTTTAAATAATAAAGCCAAAACAATTCAATTTTAACTACTAACTAGACATAAATGTTGATCAATTAATTAGCATCTACTATTTTTTAACTTAATAGTTAGTATGTTAAAGTTTTAAACTTCCTGTTTACATGAAGTGTAAAAATAAATAGTTAAATTTTGCATAATTTTTTTGTAAAAATATAATTTAAATGCATACTTAAATAATCTATATCTATTTTCATACATTTTTCTGTCATATTTAATTCACGTAATTTTTGTTGTGCTGGATGTTTTGATAAATCTGTTTTAAGCTTTGTCTTCCAGAATTCATCATAGTCTTCTAATTGTTCAAATAATTTACTTGAAAACTGTGAACAATCCTTTTAGTTATAAGTTGAAATATATATCAAAATTTAATTTAATTATTATCATTACTTTTGATCTTCTCGATACATCCATCTATAACCAAATAATCATCAGATAAAACTCCTTGACATAAATGTTTGTAAATTTTAAAACTCATATTCTAAAATCTACAATGCAATGCGTTATATAAATTATAGTTACAATTATAATTCATTACTTCGTCAATATTATAGTCTTAGTTGTATCAATGTAAAATACTTTGTTTAAATTTTTTTCAGACTTAAATATTATGAAAAAAAATTACAAGATGACTTATGTATTGGGGTAATTTTACATAATAGATTACTTTTACTATTACGGCTTAGTTTTCTAAAATATTAAAATTATCTTAAATACTTAAATCTAAAACATTTGTGTCTTCAAACTAATTTAAATGTACAACTTTAATAAAATTACTTCAAAATTTCCTACTAGGATACTTTTCTTTAATGTTATACTAATACACATTGATATTTAATCGTTATTTCCTATTTATTTTGGAACATATTCAAACCATGCTAAAAGCATGATTTAATTATTTTATCTAGTTATTATGATAATTTTTTAATTATTTAACAGCGCACCTATATAAATACAATTAATTAATGATTATTTATATTTTCCATTCACTTTTTTGTAATAATAATATTTATAATTCAAATTAAATACAAATATATTATGTTTATATATAACTATAAAAAAATTAACTTTTTTTTAAGTTATGCGACTTGGTCAATCATAATTAACCAAATAGTAATTATTTGTTTTTTCATCTAAATTATTTATATACCATTTAAATTATTCCCAACAATAAATAAATAGATATTGAGAATCCATAGAAAAAAAAATAAACAATATAATCATTTTATAATACAATGTTTCTTTAGAAAATGTTTGATATTTTTGTTTATGTTAATATGCGACTATAAATTAAGTACACCCAAAGAAAAACCTCAATCAAAATTGAAAGAGAAATTTTATCAAGGGTTTATGATAATGTTTTATTAATACGAACAAAATAACTATTCTTATAAATAATTGTTGTTCAAGACAAAAAAAATATCATATTGATAAATATATCATTGATTCAATAGTAATGATATATTTATCAAATTGAACAATGAATTTATTATATAGATCGAGGTTTTTCTCTGGGTGTAAATGATGATTATATTTGTATCATACATTTTCAGTATTAAGGAAATTATTTAGTTTTATTTTTATAAACATATTATTCCGTAATTATCTGCAGAAGAATATTCTTTTTTCGAGAAAATTCTCTTAATAATATTTACATTGATATTTATAGCAGTTTTTGGATAAGTAAATTAGCGTGAATTGTTAAAGTGTTGAAAATAAACTCACACACGTTCATTTGCAATAATTATTTTAAATGTCAGTTACTATATTAGTCAATTAAAAAATCTATTCCACTCTAGAACAAATACATATTTATTTTTAAATTACATTGAAGCACTTATAATTATAATTATTAGCAGTTATTACTAAGTCAGTAATATCAAAACGGGATAAAAAATTAATTATCAAACAATCAAATGTACAAACGCCTCTCGTTTCTTTTAACATTAAAGTGGTACAAATTACCATGATCGATATTTATAAATTAACTATGATGATAATAATTTATTGTTTGTTATTATTAAAATAAAACATTTGATTAAATTCGAAATGCAAACATATAAAAATGAGTACTTCCCAGTAATATTTTGATGCATTTGTTTAATATACCATTAAATAGTAACTGAAAATTTTAATTTAATGCCTATAGTTTTAACTAAATATTTTTATTTATAAAAAATTATTATTAATTTTTTTTTAAATCAACTTTGTTTTATCTTTCATTAGTTTTACATTATACTACTATTGTAACAAATAAAATCGTTATTTTGAGCATACTGGATATTTCAACATTAAGTTACCGATCAACCACAACCATTAGCTCGGTTAAACAGGCATCTATAAACCGTCATTTTTAAAATCGGCATTATACATTATAAATGATATAATGTATGGCTATCTATAATAATATAATTTATTGAGGTGTTTAAGCGGAGCTTTGTGAGCCTTACACAATTTAGGACATCTTAGATTTTTGCACTAGTTGTGCCAAGGGTCAGAACGCTTTTCTTTATTTTATTTAATAGTGCATTATTATTTATTAATACATTAAAAAAGTTTTCATTTAAAAGCATTGAAGCTAAGAATAAAAAAAAAGTTACTGTCTTGACATTTAAGTCGCTCATGGGCTCTGGAGAATATCACCTCCTAGCCCCTTATAATGTGTACTTGATAAACATTGATCAAAAACATCATATTTTGAGGTAAGCCGTTATTAAAAGAGTGAGCAATTTTTATTATTAACAATTTTTTTTAAGATAATTTGTAACTTAGATTCGTTAAGTGTACAGTTTGTTACAGTAACTTAAATTTGAAAACCTAAAAGTAGGTATATATAATAATAATAAATGGATTGATTTTACGGTGTGACTTTTTAATAAATACCAAGAAAACAAACTTTACAATAGGTTATGTAGTAGATTTGTTTTCCTAACATCGTTCCACGTTAAATCACGGCTATATCGTGATTATATAGTAATAATCGTGTGTTATATCAAATCACTCAGTGTTATCATGTTAGGGAACACTGTTTTCCCATTAAAAAATATACCAACAACTTCTATTATCAAACACATGGATTGTTTTGATTACGTTCGTTGACTTGCAAATTTATTATCTTTTACTCGTATCTTAGATGTATCATTGATTTAGTCATCAATTTTTAAATTCCTTTAACTTACGTTACATGATTTTATTTATACATTAAAAATATAATTCTTTTTTTATTTTTATTTGAGAATAAATAACTAAATAATGTCGGTTAAAGAAGTTTTAAACGAATCGCAATTTCAAGAAGAACTTAATTCAAACGGTGTAAAATTAATAGTGGTCGACTTCTCTGCAACTTGGTGTGGGCCATGCAAACGCATTGCTCCAATTTTTGATGAATTAGCTCGCAAATATGACCGTGCCGTTTTTTTAAAAGTAGATGTAGACAAGTGTCAAGAAACTGCAGCTTCACAAGGTGTTTCAGCTATGCCAACTTTCATATTCTATCGTAATAAAATACGTGTAGCTAAAATTCAAGGTGCTGATGTTCAAGCATTAGAAGCAAAAATTAAACAATATTATGATGCTTCATGTGCAGCTGCTGGTGAAGATAGTGGAGTACCAGGGCAAATTGATTTAAGTTCTTTCATCATGAAAAATCAGTGTGAAGCTTTAAATGATGCTGACGATCACCCATTAGCAGCATTACTTGAAGGTCGTGGGTACATGGAATCAGATTGTGATTCACAACTCATTGTATCACTAGCATTCACACAAGCTGTTAAAGTACATTCTATAAAGGTATAATAATTTTATGATAATAAAGATGTATAATCAAATAACTATTCCTAAAAACAATAATTTTTATTATTAGTAATAATGCTTGGTTATAAGTAATATTAGTAACATGGTGACAAATAAAAAATATATATAAAAAAAAACTAAATTTTTAAGTACTGTAGAATATATTTTTAACAATAATTGGTATTATTAATTGAAGCTTGGGTAATAAAACATACAATATTTTGGATTACATTTTTTTTCTACAAAATATTATATTACTGAAAAATCTTAACATATTTTTGAAATCAGAAAAGTCTCGAATGATCTTATTGCTCATAATAATTATTTTAACACAGAATCTGTTAGTTATTCAATTAAGACGTTTAAAGTTGTTTTACTTTGATACTTGTAAATTTATGAATTGCTACACAGCACATCCTTTTCAAGTATTAATTAAGTTTTCATAAGTCAATTTATACCATGATTAAAATAATATTTTTTGAAAACTTATCTAAATTATATAGCGTGTTTAAAAAGTAAAAAAATGAATCAATTGTTTGGAATAATAAAAAAAATGGACATTTTTTATATATTGAACATTTGTATAAAGATAATTATAGTTATCCGCTAATAGTGTATTATGAAAAATTTTCTTATGTCAGATAATTTGTTTATTTTAGTAATTACAAATAATTACTTAACAAGTAAGAAAATAATAAATGTATATTTTTTTATCTTATAAATACATATTAATGTTATGTTGAAAATAATGTTTTTATTCAGAATTATTAGTTTTTCTAAGACCTATTGTAAATTTAAGATTGTTATGATAAACTTCATTCTATTTCTTAAAATTTTAACTATGTTTTTAGGTGAAAGCCCCTAAAGATAATGGACCCAAGCTGTTAAAAATATTTATTAATCAACCTAATACTTTAGACTTTGATGCTGCTTCAAGTAATTTACCTACTCAGGAAATTGAACTAAAACCAGATGAACTTGATGGTAAAGTGGTCAATCTTATGTATGTGAAATTTCAAAGTGTTCATAATTTACAAATTTTTGTGATTAACAACCAGACCGATGAAGAAATTACAAGAATAGATAATTTGAGTATAATTGGATTACCTATTTCTACAACTAATATGGGAGACTTTAAACGTATTGCTGGAAAAGTTGGAGAAGCTCATTAAAAATAATGTGAAATCAATTATATAAGTGGCCACTATTTAATACCAGATTAATAATAACTACTGCTATTTTTCTACCAAATAGATATCTCATAATTAAAAGAAAATATTTATATATACATTAGAAATAAATCACAATTTATGAGGAATATGTTTTATTTTTATTGTCACCTCATATAAACAAAAATATCATTTGGTTTAATGTTTTCATACAATCTTAACTTATCTAGACTTAAAATTTCAGTATTCTTGTTCCAAAAGTTATCTCCAATTATATCCTCATGTAGTATGTATACAACATGTTTTTTCGTTTTTGATGGAGGAATTTGTACAAGTTTTCTTATTAAAACTGACCCTTTTCTATAAATTGGTAATTCGTTATTGTAATTTGTCCCACACTCCGAATACAATATTTCATTCTTTTGAGACGATACTGTCCCACTTAAAACTTTTTCAGCCTAAAACACAAAAATGTTTTTTTTTATCTTTAACATACGAAGGGAACTTATTTTTATTTTTACTTCATTATTATTTAGTCCTTTTTTTAAAACAAGTCCCCAAAATGCTGTATTATATAAATTATTGATATGTGTATCTGCTTGTCGCCAACTTAAATAATCCCTTAAATTTTGATCAGTTGGATAAAGAACAGTACGGGCATCAAATGAAGGTGGATATATAAGTTTTTTTTCTTTAAAATAGGTACTCCAATAATAAACATAAGAAGCAGAAAATATGCTGTTGATGGCAGACATTATTTTCGATTGGCGTCTGTTATAAATGTTAGTATCTTTACGTAACACAAAACTATACTCATCACTTTGTCCATACGCTATTTGAACGTCTCTTAACTCATCCATAACTGCTACGGCAGATCTATTCATTAAGTTAAGTGCATTTTTATCATTTGGTTTATCAAATTTATGAACCATAGTAAACCTATAAGAAAAATGAAATTGTTAGTATTTAAAAAAATATGAGTGTAAATTAAAAATTACTATGTTTAAAATTCTAATACTTATTCAAAATGTTATTAATATTTACAATATTATATAATATATATTATAAATTAAAACTAAAAAACTATTAACTAATATACAGGAGCGTAGATAATAGGAGGTTTCAAACTCCTTCCATTGTGAATTGAGATGTTTCAATACAGTCTTTATTTCTATATTTAATTTCAAATAAAAATAAAAATATTAAATTCTATAGAAAACCCAAAAATAATAGTTTTGTTTTACTATAACTTTTACAGTACCTAATATTAAACTATATTAACTACAAACTCACACATTCTTATTATAAAATAATGTTAACTTCAATACGAATCTGAGAAGGTATTGTTTTTTACCATTATGTTTTTCTTTTTCTGTCCATCAATAAAAATTCATAGCTCTCACTGGATCGACTTTAATGATCTATACGTCAATAGAACCCAAATTAAATCTAGTTGAAGCTATAAATGCCGAAATTTGAAGAAAACAATCCTCAAATATTTTCCTCTATTTTAAAACTATTATACATTTTTTTTAAAACGCTGATCTTAATAAAATTTTTATAATATAAATGAGTATAAAAGAAACTATAAGCTGCCTTTTAATTTGTTCTTGATGAAAATCCAATGTAAAACATAAATGCAGAAAGGGTTTAAAGAGACTATTCCGTATGGAATAATTTTTGAAAATATTTTGGAACCTCTAACAACATTTAACCAATAACAAATTTAATTTTTTTAAGTATACTGCAATATTACAAAAGAATCCTATAAGAAATAGGTCGTTATAGTAAAAAAGATACTTGAAAAAATATTCTAAATGACAAATTGCAATTTTATATCCGAAATTACAATTACCTAGGGTTATAGTTATAACGAACATCAAATTTCAAAACCCCATAAGAAGAATATATACATAAAAATGCCAGGCGATATTGCCCATTTTCAAATAGATTACATATTAATGAAAAATAGTTTTAAAAACCAAGTTAAACTCTGTAAAGCATACGCAAGTGCTGATTGTGACAGCGATCATAACTTAGTAATGATAAAATGCGAACTCCGATACAAAAAACTATAAAGACCAAAAGTACAGCAAGACAAATATAATGTTAGATTACTTAAGAGAGCAGAGGTTGTAGAACAATATAGACAACATATGGATCGCGAATATCAAAAAGGAAACATAGATGATTATTTGAACAAAAAATGGTAAAACAAAAAATTAGCAATAGAGAATGTGGTTGATGTTGTGTTAACAAAAAAATAAAAGAAAGAACTTAGAAAGGCATGAATTGATAAGAAAATAGTAAAACTTATAAACAGAAGATGAAAATAAAAAAACAATAACACGAGAGAAGGACAATAAAAGTATTACCAATTAAGAAATCAGGTTAATCCAAAGGAGAGTGGCTAGAACAGCAATGTGGCAAAATTGATGAGACAATAATAAAATAGATCATACATATCGCAAGATACAACAATTCAAAATGTCAAAAAAAAAAACAATATTGCACTAATATCAGAGATAAAAATGGCTAACTATTAACTAATGATGAAAACATAGTAAAACCATAAAGAGAGTACTAGAGTATCTTGAAGAACTTTATGATGGAAAGCTAAAAATCTTGACGAAACGAAGCTACTCAATTTAAGAGCAGAATTTGAGCTAGCGCTACATGACTTGAAATAAAATAAAGCGCCTGGGGCTAACAGTATAAGAGCAAAATTATTACAATGTGTTAGCACGAAGATAAAGGACGCTTTATAACAACTAACTTGAGATATATATGAGAAAGGAGATGTACTGGAGGATTACTGTAAAAGCATAACTGTAACTATACGGAAGAAGAGAAAATTCCTATGAACAGTTTTAACACACAGAGTCTACTGACACATATCTCAAAAATTTTAACAAAATTAACAAATCGAAAAATAGAAGGAAAAGTGGAACAGTACTTAAAAATTATCAATACAGATTCAAAAGACAAATAGGTACACGAGAAATAATTTTATGACAACGAGTCTTAATTACAAAGCAGATTAATAGAAATAATGTAAAATATTTGGCCCTTATAGATTTAGAAAAGGCCTTTGATAAAGTCAATGGGAATAATTTTTTTTTACACTACGAGAAATAGTTAATGAATATACAATATGACATAACATTACCCATAGTCTGTACAAAAATCAGGCAGCTTGCATTAAAAAAAAGAGAAATTACTGGAAACGCTCAAATAAAAATAGGAGCTCGATAAGGATGTATGTTATCACCCTCACTTTTAATTGATACATCAAAACAGTTATAAATATAGTAAAAGCAAAGTTAACAAGACTAAATATTGTATTGTTGATGAAATTAATGAAACGTTTAGAACATCAGACATAAAAATAAATATTGCAGAGACGTTGGTTCTATAATGTTTTGGGGCTGCTTGTCAGAAAAAGGAACAGGGAAATTGCATTTTGTATGAGGTACAGTCAATAGTGACAAATTCATTCATATTATGGAGAATTATATGCTTCCTCCTAAAAAAAGTTTGAATGTCACACATTCAAGAAAATTTCTAAATGAATGAGTGATAACCAAATTTCTCTTTTGAAATGGTTTGCCCGTTTCTCAGACCTCATCATAATAGAAAATACTTGGGTTCAAATTGAGAAAATTATCAAAGATAAACACGTGCACAATCTCGATGATTAAAAAAAAAATAGCTTGCTTGAAAAAATTTAAGTGAAATTTACTGTGGAAAATTTTCAGAATTTATGGTAAGAAGCGTTAAAGCTTGCTATGAAACTAAAGGAGGAGCAACTAAATACTAAATAATTGAACTTATAAACTGTTAAATATATTACGTTTCTAAATAAATTAGTTAAAATAACATGCAATATACGTTTTCATGTGATTTTTGCCTAGCATATTGAAAAAATAAACTTATTTGATAGTAAATAAGCGGTTTCATTTTAAGTTTATGAACACATTATATAAAGAAAAAAGTTTCATGCATTTACTTGATGATTTAAACATTTACGATTGGGGTCAAGCCCAAAATCTAAACGTGTGCAGTATAAAATTTGGGGGTGTCTTATAATTTTGACCAACACTGTATATGTATTAAATTGCTTGTAACTCAATAAATACTCATCCTAAAGTTATCATCCATCAACATTTTTATATATATATATATATAAAAAAAAGAATAACACAATATATTCACTGGATTAAAAGTTATTAAAGATATCAAAACCTGGTAAAATACCCTATATGTATATATATATATATATATATATATATAATATACTTTGGTCGACCCCAAGTAGTTGGGATTAAGGCGAGGAAGAAGAAGAAGATATATATATATATATATATAATCATATAGATATTTTCATTAAATTTTTATATATAGAATGTTCAGTAAGTAAGGAAACGGATTTCTATTGTTCTCATTGTTTATAATAATTGACATGTTTCCTATATGTATATATTATAAATATACATTAATTGTAAATATAAAAACTTTATGTAAAACCTGTATTAACTGTGGCTATTAAGACCAGAACAATAGACACAATTAAAAGAATTTTTACTGTACATTTGTAGTTTTCGACATTAGACATAAACTATAATGTTAGTAACTAAGGGTTAAACATTATAAATAAAATAATTAGAGAATTTTATCTTTTATTTTGATGCTCGAATGGTTTGAGATATCACATTTTTTATGTAACAGTAAAGAAAGAAACTGTATTGTATCTTATTATGACAAAAGAGAGGCTTGTAAAATCAGTTTTCTTTAGTATTTTAAATAATTAAATATGAAATATTAAGTCTGCTTTTCATTGAATAAAAATTTATTTTTATTACATTTTTTAGATTATTACAAATTATATAATTTAAATGTACAATTAATTATAAAATTATTATAAATGACCAATTATCACTTCCAAAATGATACTGAATGATAAAATAAATATCTATACATTTATTTATTTGAAAATAAATGAATTTATGAGAACATTCAATTTTATAGTATGAATTATGAATGTTAATTTAAAATAAATGAAAAATGCATTATTCGAATAGTTTTCAGAAGTGCATTTGTTCACTGTAATGAACAAGAACTTTAATTAGTCATTTTTATTTGAAGAACTTTAACTTGAACTAATTCACTTTAAATAGAATTGTACAATCTCATTTTTATAATTGAATATACTATATATCAACACTTAATATAATTGATACAGAATCTAGAGTATAAAAAATATTCTAAGAAACTATACTTAAAATTATTAACAAAAAATTGAATATTGAAAATTATTAAGGTGTATGAATAACACACATAATGACATTATGATATCAATAATACACTAAATGTCAGAGAGTATGGTTATACAGTATTTTAAGAGATATTCCAAAACTGTTAAAATAGTTATTATTTTTATAAATATATAGTATGAAAAGGAGAAGAGGAAGACAAAAAAAAATAGTTTGAGTTGACTAATGGTTAGACAATATGAAATAGACCATGTATCATAGTAAATGAGTGAATAACGAACTTTAAGTAGTTATGAACAAAAAAAAAATTCATAACTTGAAACGATAGTTATTATTTTTCATCTTTTATTAAATTAAATTACACCTGTGAAAAGAACGACCATCTAGACGAACAACAATCCAACAATTTGGTATACATTTATCTTCAGACTCAAATTCTCTTACATATTCGTATTTGCTTTTAGCCATTATTTTACAAGTAGATAATCTTATATTATCGTACCTATTAAAGTAATATTACATAAATATATATTAATATATATAAACTCAACAATATCTAAGTTTTCTGCGCTTTGACGTACCTATTACAGAATCTTCTACATGTTTTTTTAACAACGGCATACATAAAAAATAAAGTATTTAAATTACAAATAAAAAAACGAAAGAAAAAAGAATGTTTCTATTTAAGAATACCGGCTATAGTTATCGATTGTGTTTATAAGTTTTATCAACGAAAAAATTAAAACTTATTTTTGTATGATAAGCCTAACCCAATCCAGCCCAACCAAAACTCGCAAGTGACTATCACGAAATTTTTTTAAAAAAGTTTAGCAAAACAACAAATAAATTTAATGTTTTAAAAAAATTTTCTAAAAAATATATTTACTGTTTACTACTTTAAGTCAACACATTGCCTAAAATTAAACTAAAAAAAACGGTAGCACAGTGGGGTCGAGGCACAGTGTGGACGAGGCATAGATGGGACATGTATAGATGATATCTGACAGTGATTAAAATCACTATCATAAGAAACGCTTCGATGCAAATCTGTAGATAGTGTTTCCTTTAGAGAAATTGGTGAAATATTTTAAAAGCAACATGAACTCTTATTTCTTTAATTATATCCTGATTAGTAGTTCTTTGATTTTAAAATATAATATATGAATAAATACTAATTATAGTTTTTAAATTTAGTATGAAATTGTGAGGCCAGCTATGATGTATGGTTCATAGTGTTGGGCGGTTGATAAGAAAGTAGAGCAGAGAATAAGTGTAGCAGAGATGAGAATGCTTAGTTGGATGAGTGGAGTGACTAGAGAAGATAGGATAAGGAACGAGCATATAAGAGGAAGTATAGGTGTTGCGTCAATCGTGGATAAGATGACAGAAAATAGACTTAGATTGTTTAGTCATGGTATGAGGAAAGAAGAATCGAAAGCTGTAAGAACAGTTATAGAAATGAATGTTGAAGGAAGAAGAGATAGAGGAAGACCAAAAAAGAGATGGAGGGATGCTATTGAATGCGATTTGAGGACAGCTGATGTGAGCGTAGAAGATGTGGGAGATCGTGTCAAGTGGAAGCTTAGGATAAGGGTGGCCGACCCCAAGTAGTTGGGATTAAGGCAAAGAAAAAGAAAAATATTACCAGATATTCCGGTGGCAATTGACATAATATGATTGTTATTTCGGAATGTACAATTTAGCGTTTAGTTGGGTTTAAATAATATAGCGTCAAATCAATTACCTACTCTATCGGTTGTATCTCAATATACACTACACTTTAATGATACAATAAATAAATAAACTCACACATACACACATATGCATTTATAACATTGTGTCTAATGTAAGTATAACATGATAAAAAGTAACCGTAAAATGAAAAAAATGGAATATAAATTTTATTACTCATATTAAATGTAATGTAACTCGAAAAATATTTGTTTAAATGAAAAAATATAAGATTATATTTTTATTTATAATTGTCTTTTAAACAACTTTTGTGCGAAACTTTTTTTTGTAAGTTAAATATTTTTTTTTGAGAAAATTAAGAAAGCTCATATTTTTGAACTTTTGCGAGGATTTAAAAAAAAAGCTCAATTCCAATCTTGAGGACTATTAGTATGTCATTATACATATTTTAATTCAACTTTTAAAAAAACAAAATTTTTTCCGCAATTTTTCCTTTGTTGACAGGCCTAGATGTCAATTTTAAACTTGTAATTGAGCTAAAAGTTATGGTAATATATTCAATTTATTTTACTATAAACTTTCATAAATCTTTATCAAAAATTTTTCATCAACTTTAAAGAACCAAAAAAATAGGTTAAAATTGAAAATTTGGACTGATTATTTTTAACATATTAAAAATCAAATCAGTAATAATTTGAAAACAAATTTTTTTTTCTTTTAATTATTATTTTATATATATAATTAGTAATAATATAAAAAATTAGAAGTGATAGAAATAGTCTACTTGCAGATTTGAAAACAACGCGAAAATTTGATTTAGAAAAGTATATTTTTGCTTCTGATGAAAGTTCCTTGTAGTCCAGTGCATTTTTTTATAGTAACAAACAGTTTTTATTGAAAATTATTGTATCAAGCCCTTTAAATTTTTATACACGTAAAAGTAAAGCAAAATATAACTTCTTTATTATTTTTATAATTTCTCCGTTTAAATTACAATATTAAATATCAATTTCATACTAAATTTAATAATTATAATTAGTATATATTCAAATATTATATTTTAAAATCAAAGAACTACTAATCATGATATAATTAAAGAAATAAGAGTTGATGTTGCTTTTGGAATAATCCACCAATTGCCTAATTAAAACAAAAAAAAAAAAAGTTTGTTGGGAATTTTTTCTGCTATTCTGCAAAATTACTCCTTCGTTGACTAGAATGAATCATTAAATAGAAAATTTTATGAGAATTAAAACAATGTTATTTTTAAGATTAATATGCAGTCAGAAAGTTTTATAATTATTATTTATTGTAAATTTATCAGAAAAACTCATTATTTTTTGCATTTTTATCGTAATAGAACACTTAAATAGAAATCATAGTAATCATTTCTAAGTAATTTTTGATATTTAAAAAGATTCTACTATTGAAATATCCAGAACTGAATTAATTTTAATGATTTACTTTAACTAAAAAAAAAAAAGTTAATATTTTGAATCCCTCTTGTGGGCAGGTAAAGGGTTAGATTTATAAAAAAAACCAAATGATAGATAAAGACATGCATCTAAATAAAAAAAAATATACTGATTTGGTCATTTTTGATAAAGTTATAACAATTAACAAAGTTATAAGTTTTATACACTGGACTACAAGGAACTTCCATCAGAAACAAAAATATACTATTCTAAATCAACTTTTCGCGATGTTTTAAAATGTGCAATTAGACTTTTTCTATAACTTCTAAGTTTTAATATTATTAAAAAATAGTTTTTACATATAAAAAAAAATAATTAAGAACAAAAAAAATTGTTTTAAATTAATACTGATTTGATATAATATTTAATATTAATTTGATTATTAATAAGTTAAAAATAAGGAAAATGACATATTTAACCTATTTTGTTAATCGTTTAAAGTTGATTGTTGTAAATGTTTATAATAAAAAAAAAAAATTTATTTTACCATAACTTTTAGCTCAATTGGTAAGTTTGACATTGACATAATTAAATAGAAAATTTTATGACAATTAAAAAAATTGTATCGTTAAGATCAATATGCAGTCAGAAAGTTTTATAATTACTATTTATTGTAAATTTATCAGAAAAGCTCAATATTTTTTTGCATTTTTATGGTAATAGATAACTTAAATAGAAGTAATAGTAATAATTTCCTAGGAACTTTTGTTGTTTGTTGAAAAGATTCTATAATTGAAATATTGAGAACTTAATTAATTTTAATGATTTACTTTAACTAAATGTACCAATCAAAACAAAGTTGTTAAAAAGATTTACTCAATTGAGTGTATTATAAAATTTGATTATATTTGTAAAAATCAATTGTTAATTCAGGAGAAAAAACAATCATTTTTTTTAGAAATGATTTATATAGCAACATGTTACAAAAAAAAATTGTAATATTATAGTCTAGTAGTAGCACACACAAATAGAGTAAAAAAATTATTAAATTACAAAGTAAAATGATTTAATTTTGTAGTTGAAACCTATCATATCAAACTTCATTCGTTAATAAATATTTTGAAAACATTAGAAATTAATGATTTTAATTGTCTTTATGGAGACGATGTAATAACTAACTGTTTAATTGATAAATTAGAATTTTTTTTTCAATTTTTGAGAGTAATATCTTCAACTAGATACGAATTGTAGTAATTTGACGTATTGTTGAAAAAAGTAGGTCAAGTTAGAGCAGAGAAAATAAATGATAGTCACAAAAAAATATCTTCTCGGCTTTGCATCGAAGCGAAAACTTAAAATATAGTAAAATAATTTTAATACGAATAAGAAATTTCTTCTTGCAAGGGGCGACTAAAGTGATGGGATCCTTGATCTTTATTGAAGTTATTGAATCTAAATGTGATAAAAATCAAACGAGTTAAAATTTATACTAACTTAAAAAGAATTAAGAAAAAATGCAAAAAATTCATTGCCATATGCGGGTTGGAACCTCGTACCCCAAGCGTGTAAAACATAAATTTTACCAACTCGGCAACCGTACGTTGCTTCCGGCGGTTGAAAAATTGGCTATTTAAGCTAGTTCAAATTTCAAAGTTATTTTTCTCGACTTAAAAGAAACAAACATATTTAAATAAGTTTAACTATCTATACTATATCAATTTTAATTTATATAATATTTATGAAAATCTGTACTCCCCTTGTCAGGTATTTTAAAATAAAATAAAATACAAAACCCAGAATTTTAACACAAAAATAGCATATTTTTGCATACGGTAGTCATTTTTACCATGAAGACAAATCCAGAGGTCAAATTTTTTTTTTTCACATTAAAGTATATTACATAAGCTTTAATTTAAGATATATTTAAAAGTGTCAGTATTTCCGGAATACTTTCAAAAATTAAATTGAAAATATCGTAGTAACAATACGCATGTTTAAAGTTTTGACCCCCCTTGTTAAAGGGGTATGATCCGATTTACAAAAAAAGCGTGCCAGATGAAAGGGGTATATCAATATTTATTATAAAAAAATAATAATATAGATCCATACATTTTTCCAAAAGTTATATAAAATATAAATTAAATAATATAACATATAAAATCGAGATTTTTTTCACGGAAATCGTACGTTTTTCTTTAACTTTGATGTCCGTTTTCACCACGAAGACAAGTCCAGAGGTCAAATTTTTTTTTTTCAAATTAAAGTATATTACATAAGCTTTAATTTAAGATATATATAAAAGTGTCAGTCTTTCCGGAACATTTTCAAAAGTTAAGTTGAAAAAGTTCTACTTTCTATACGCATTTTAAAAGGTTTGCACCCCCCCTGTATAAAGGGAAATGGTCCGATTTTAAAAAAAAGTATGTCGAATGAAAGAAGTATATATAAAGTATTTATCATTAAAGAATAAAGTTGATTCATGCATTTTTTAAAAAGTTATAGCAACATAATGTTAAAAAATGTAAAATATAATATCAAGAATTTTTTCACAAAAATAGCATATTTTTGCATACGGTAGTCATTTTCACCATGAAGACAAGTCCAGAGGTCAAATTTTTTTTTTTCAAATTAAAGTATATTACATTAGCTTTAATTTAAGGTATATATAAAATTGTCAGTCTTTCCGGAACATTTTCAAAAGTTAAGTTGAAAAAGTTAATTTTTTGTAAAAAAGTTACCATTTTGAAACCCCATCCTTTGGGCTGTTAAAGGGTCAAATGTTCACAAAAATATATAAAATGATAGGTAATTATCTAAGGTATCTATAAAAAAAAAAATTATATTGATTCGGTCATTTTTAAAAAAGTTATGGCAATTTTAAGTAAAAAAAATTGAAAAAATATCGAAAATTAGCGATTTTTAAATTTGTAATTTTTTGGGGGATTTCCCCCGTTTACGGGGAACGAGGGAATTTTTTTCAATTTTTGAGGGTAATGTCTTCGACTAGATACGATTTGTGATCTTTTGACATATTGTTCATCAAAATCGGTCCAGCGAGAGCTGAGATTGAGCGTTCACAGACACAAAAAAAAAAATAAAAAAATAAAAAAACACATCATAGTAAAATTAATACCTTCTCAGCTTCGCATCGAAGCTAAAATTATGGAACACCAAAAAATAGTGTAAAAGACAATTTTTTTTGCAACTTCACACCAATGGCAACAATATTTATTTTGTGTCGTGAATGTTCATATAATCATTTTTTCAATACATGATAAATTTTACATATATTTTAAATATAATCTGAAAAAAAATTTCATGCTACATACATTATGTTTAATTTCATATTTTTTTAATTTCTCTATTTGAATTCCCCTAGACTTCCCAGATTGTGCCTATAGGCGTGTACCCAGAAATTTTCAATAAAGGAGAGGGCTAAAGCCTTACCAACTCTACTCCTCGTATCCTACTGTTTATAGGTATTTTCTTTATCTAGATATTTACCTTCTTATATTATTAATATAGCATTGTATTAGAAATACTTGAATTCATGATAGGTTAATCGGTTCTTTAACCATTTCATAAAATCTAGAGGTAGTTCTAGAATTTTTTTTTATTGAAGACCTGTTTCTATGCTTATTATTTTAAAAAATCTAAAAGAAAGGCGATAAATTTACTTACTTGGTGAAAAATTGCTAGGGGAGGAGTAAGTCACTTCTGATCAAATCTTAGGTGGATATTAGAAAAAAACATTAAGTTATCTTGAGAAATTTATATAAAGCAATAAGAATCAAATTTAGTTCACTGTAAGTGTATATATGTACACTTACAAAAGTTGCTTAAAATTTCATGCACAAGATTGCTTAATTCAAATTTTATCAATATTATTTATAAATAAAATTGAATATATATTGAAACTTTATAACTCACTTGTACATGATTTATTTTTAGTAATTTATTAGATTCTTGATCATATAAACACAAATTTATAAAATAACTATTAACATTTGATTAATATTATTTATTAGCACCCTGTTTCAGAATGTAGTACAATTACACATTTTTTAAATAATAGTTACATTGAATATTTTCTTTTATTAACTATTCCTTATTAAAAAGTACAGTTATAGTTAAATATTATAAAAATAATATCAACTTTGTTCGTCTGTAAATACATATAGTTGAGAATAAAATAATTTCACATTTTTAGTTCAGAGATTCAATATTTAAGTGTTATAGCTCTTCAAAAAATGCTACACGGGCTTTAGTTGATCCACACTTTACCTAAGACAAATATCATAGTAAAATTAAAGTGAATTTTAATAGGATATAACATTATTGTACCTTTTTTAATGTTGAGTATTTGTTTTCACCTAATCTCACTTGTTCATCATGTAACATGTCAAGTTCACACTGTTTTTCATCAACTTTCAATACTTCTATTTCAGTTTTCAAATCCCGTAGTTGATCTTGAAGATGTTTGCTTTTTTCTAAATATTGAACCCTGAATGAAAATTATATATTAAGTGATGCCTCTTGACTTATTAGTAATAATTAGTATTCAAAATACTTTACCTTTCTTTTTCTATTTCTAATGAAAGCTGTTCCATATCATTTTCAGCTATTAAGTCATATGATGGTAAATGATGGTTAGTCAATGTTGGTGGAGAAGTATGACCAAGAGTCAGTGATGGTGAATTTGAATTCAATCTTAGAGCATGAAGATCAGTTGGTAAATCAAGTACAGAACTACTAGATACTGAATATAAACTTGAAACACTCTAAAAATATTTAAATAGATCACAAATATTAATATTAAAGTTATGAAAAAGATCATCATTCAAGAATACTAATTAAATACAATTTATACAGGTCCTAAGTTTTAATATAAATATATATTGAATTTATTAGAATAAGTGATATTATATTTATTATATTATATTTTGTATTATAATTTATACTATTACTTATAATAGAGGAAATTTATAATATGGCCAGTTATCTACTCTTTATATTTCAGTACATAATATTCATAAGATAATTAATAAAAGCTGTTATCAATATGTTTAATTTTTCTATAACACAAACTAAAAAAAAAAATCTTCAAATTCTGAAAAAATTTCTTTACCTATAAAATATAGTTATCAAAAACTAGAAACATTAAAACATTAATGAAAAAAAACATTTTAAAGTGACACATTTATTTTTAAAATATGAATGTAAAATATTAAGATTATCTCAAATTTTACTTTATATTTTCATAATATATCTTGTTCCTCACTTTTCGTAACAAACATTAGTAATATTTTCAGACGTATAAGCTGATATTTAGCTATAATTCCAGAATCCTTATTTGAAATAATAATTACTTTTCTAAGGTTGTAATTTTGAAATATAAAACATCAGCACAAAATTTAGAATATGAAAATTCTTAAAAGCACACTCATATCATAAGACTTGTCTCACCATAAATATTTAGTTTAGTAAAGATTAATGTTACTGATAAAATATAGTATCATACTATTGTAATATTTACAATTTAGGAAGTTATTCAAAGTTTTCATTTAAGTATTGCAAATGTGAATTTTTTATTCACACTGTTGCAGCCCATTAAGTCACAGAGTCAAATGTTAATTACAGTTATAATAATTTTGATATATTAATGTATGGATTTTAATTAAATTTAATTTAATAACATGAATAAATTAGGTAAAATTTGAACAATTTTGTAATAATACTTAATTAATTAAATTAATTTTATCCATTTAAATTTTTCATGTGTTATTTGCAAGAATAAAACATTTTTCTATTACTATTAACCACGGTCCTAAATAGCATTAGAAAAGGAGATTAATTTTTCATACTCCCTTCCTCCTGAAAAATTACTGATCAGTCATTTTAAAATTAACTAATAGTAGCAAGCCTGTTACAACTATTAATGTGTATCCTGAACTGCCTCGGTACCGACTTGCCTACACCATCCTTCTAATAAATAATAGAGAAGACATTTAATAGATAAATTTTATAATATGACATTAATTAAAAAATTTTATAATTGTATTATCAACCTAAATATTAGAAACATTTTCCCAACCCTAATTTTTCAACAAGTACAACAGAAAAACATTGATCATTGATAACAGTATTTTTTTTTTTAGATTCAAAAATTATTGTCAGTTCTGAAGAGTTCTATTCCTAGTATCTAAGTTGTAATTATTTTACAATATATATATATATATATATATATATATATATATATTTTGTAATTGACCTTTTATATCAAAATTATAGAATTAATTTATTGAGAGTGTAATGTTTTTGTTAATAAAGTAAATTAATTTACTGTATTAATATAGGCATTTCTAGACAGGAACTCAAGTAGCTTTTCTTTAGCTTGTTTTTCTGCAACACGCGCCCTCAGTAATTCTTCTTTGAGTTTATTTGCTTCTGCTGCTCGTTTTTCAGATTCATCCACCAAACGTGCTGTCAATTGTTCTGCTTCACGAGTTTTACGTTCCAAACTAACTTTTTCTTCTTCAGTCTATTAAAAAATTATATGATTATAAACTTTAATTAAAATAAGCAAAAAAAAAAAAAAAAAATACTTTCAAAGCAGTTAAACGAAATTGTGTTATTTTATGCTCAGCCTCAGAAGCTTTTTGACCAAGTAGCATTGCTTCTTCTTCAGCAACTCGTGATTTTTCTGCTAGTAAATCAGCTGTTTCCTCAGATCGTCTCTGTAATATGTCATCATACATTATTTTATCAGTATAAAAAATTTGTAAGAATTGCATTTGATATGGTATAATACTTACTAATGCTTCATTGGCCAATCTGATTTCTTCTTGGTACTGTAACAATCTTTGCTCCATGATGGCCTTTTCTTTTTCTGCAATTTCCCTCAATTGTTTTTCACGTGCCAATTTATTGCGTTCAATTTGACGCCTATTAAAAAATTCAAAATAATTAGAGCTCAAGGGCATGCTAAGAGGACTTAATATTAAAATACTGCTAGTCAAAGGTGGGTATTAACAAAGAATAAAGTGAATTTTTTTAATACTTTAACACTTAACTAATTAAATTTACATTTAAATAATAATTGAGATTTTTTCAGTTAATCAGAATATATATATATCAATCTAAAGTTAATAATGTAAAATAATTGAATGAATATTTTATTCATTAAAATATGTATAATTGTTATTACACTATATGTAACAATGAATACAATTCAATTGGAAAAAATAAGAGAAGAGAATGGAATATTATATTTTATAACATAAATTTAAAAAATCTTTTAACTATTAAAAAAAAAAAAAAAGAAATTATAAATTTCACATTTAAATATATTACTTTAGGTAGAGCTAAAAATTAATTTACAAACTAAAAAATAAAATTTAAGGTAACTGAAATAACAGACCTTGATTTTTCTTCCTTTGCTTGAGTTTTCATTTGTTGTACTTCCATTGAATCTGGTTTACGTCGTCTCATAAAAAGGTCATGATTTCCTATGCATAAATCTAAAATCTTAATAAAAAATATTTAATTGGTAACACGATCATAGTTGTTTATTATAAATATTTAATAATATTAGATAATATCAATAAAATTGATATTATTGGGATATGGTTCTAATAACCATATCAAAATATTTTTTTTCCACTTCTAGTGACGATTTTTTTTTTTTTTTTGCTTTAAAACCTTAATATTTTACTACAAAATTTACTTTTAAAAATTTTGATTTCTTCTAAATCTACTGAGTAACCAATGTTTTTAATTTTTAGCTAAAACTACTGATTGTTATAGTTTAAATTGTTAAATAAAAATTCCTATTTTATTTAATACATTTAATTTATACAATTTACATCAAAATCTTTCAAATTTAATAATAGAAAAATTTTGATTGTAATATTAAATCAGAAAAAATATCATAGAAATATATGCTTCAATTGGGTTTTTCGTTTAAAAATTTCAAACATTCAAAAATGGCTCAAAACATTTATATGATAATAATCAGATTAAATTCTAACATAATTAAACATTTGCCTGATTACAAAAAATTTTATTGATATATTAGTCCAGAGGAATGAACCATTTAGAAAATGAACATCTGGCATTAAAATAGTATTTGAATCTTCTATTAAAGTTTGTAAAGAAAATGTGCAAGATAAGTACGATAGTCACAGAAAATAATTTCTAAATTACATACAAAAAATGTTTTTATTAATAAAAAATTATAATAACCATATAAATTTAAAACATGTCACTTAGAATTTGTTTAATTTAATTAAGTTATCAATATTTATAAATATGCTTTTTTTGCAGTATAGGTAAAACAGTAATAATTCTATGAATTTGTCTCAGTATAAATAGAAAGTATTTTTTTTTTTTTTTTATGATTTTAAAACTCATTGATTTTTTAGTAATTTTAAAATATTAATGTTTAGCAAGCTAATTATGAGGTTAATAAAAGATAATCTATCAAAATAAAGATGACTGTTTAAAATTAATTGAATACAATTTATAAACTTTATTGGCTATTTTCCTATTTTATAGTAGTCATTTTTAAATCTTCTTAAAATTTCATGTAGGGGATTGCGTCATTTTATACTCTGGCTATATCATTGAAAAGAAGAGTGTCTCTTCATTATAGATACATTTAAATAGAAAACTATATGAGTAAGCATCACTAAATTTGAATTTTTCTTTTTAGAACATAGTAATGAAAAATATAAATATTTCAGTGTTTCTATTATTACTTTTTTTTTTTTGAAATGTGGAATTTACTTTTTGAATAAACTATTATTTGAAAAACTTAAGCCCAAAAGCTTAAGTTTATAACACATTAAAGTAATTTTATTTTAATAGATTCTCCTATAAAATTAAAAACTTTAAACTTACATTATCTCCTAACAATTATTGAAATTCTTAATTAATAATTTATTCAATGAACCATTTTTATAAAAATATAACAATTCCGTTCATTATAAGTAAAACAAAAAAAAATTTAATCATTTTCATACATACCAATTTATTCATCCTAACTTTATGGGAAAAAAATATAAAATTTGGTGATGTCTTGTCAACTGGTTTAATAGTAAATTTCTTATCATCAAAACTAACATGTCTAATTTCTGACCACTGGAATGTTGTTTTAGGAGTCAATTTATTTTCTTTTTCATAAATATTAAGACCTAAAGCTGTAACTCCAAGCCATAAATCTGTATCTTTTTTATTCTGTGATCAATGAAAAACAAATAAATAAATATAAATACATTTTTATGTTTAATTTCTTAAATGATGTTTTTGAACTACTTACACTAATGGGAAAATAGTTAACACCATACATGTCCAAGTCTTGAGCAATTTTAAGATATTCTATCTCAGCCTCATCTCTGGACATTCCTCGATGATCAGCATACCATACTTTGATTCGTTCTTCCCACATTTCTGCAGTCATTTGATATTGATCAATAACTCTTTGAGGCAATAATTCTTCACTAGCAAGCATTCCTGGTTTATATGTTCCTTCATCATAATCACCATACTAAAATGATTCATATATCATTTACAAGATGTAATTCAAAAAATAAATATTTTTAATATTACTTTAGCCTGCACCGCATAAGAAGCTAATAAAACAGAAGCTTCAGGTGGACAGTATATATCCATTGACAGAATGGCACGGTTAACTTGCAAAAAAAATAAATGTTGAGTAACTTCTTGAACCAATTCTTCAGCTACTTCTTCAGGATAAAATTTAGCAAGAAACATAAAAGGCATAGTTGTTTGCTGTGGAATACCTTGGTCTTGAACTATAAACATTAATATTAGAAATAAATATTCATTCAAGATTTATAAAAATGTCATAAATAAAGTTTGTTTCAAAATGTTTATACCATAATGATAGTGAGTATATTTAAAATTAATGAATGATCAATAAAAACTTTTGAATGTTATTTTAAAACTTTTAAATAATTTTTCATATGGATAGAAAAAGGAAAACGGTTAAAAAATACTTAACAATAGATATATTCACAATTTGCTCCTCACCCAAATTAAACTTTATAATGTTAATAGTTTCCAAAACACAGGACCAAAAGTTGTAAATGTCCACTCTTTGATTTAAATAGATCATTCCCTAAAATTTAATCTAATTGAATACATATGGTATCATTTAAGGTAATACACTTAGTAGGCATAAGAGATATTCATCTCTATGCCTAATAAGATAAAATATATTGAATAATTGATAAATCAAAAATTATATATCTAAAAAAAGTAAAAAATTTTCAATATTTTTATTTTGAGTAATTGTGTCTGTAATCGTCCTATATACTTGAAAACAGTTAATGACATAAAAAACATTCTTTTTCTTTAATTTGTATATTATTAAAATGTGAATAATAATTTTTCAACTTTAATTCAATCATAAGATTAAAAAAATTTAAGATAAAATGTTGAGAAATTTAAATTTAATAAATAAAAAATATCAACAAGTAATTTAAGAAACACTTTTTTATATTATTTATAGTTAGAAGAATTTAGAACATACCTTTTTTATCTAACTTTAACCATGCAATAAATCCTTTAGAGTCTTCATATTGTAATCCAAAATACCAAGTTTCTCGCAGTCCTATTGTTCGGCACACTAAATCGAACAAGTCTCTACCTGTAGCTTTTAACTTAAAATAACAATTATATTATTAAAAAAAAATTAAAAATTGTAAAAAAAAATACCTCCAAGTTGAATTCCAATTCTGCATCAAGTGTACAAACTTTTACAGGAAAAGATTTTCCTGTAGATTTCTTACGTTTAAATGGTGGCATTTTATCTTTCATTATTAATAAACATTAATCGTAATTGTAACATTAAGAAATGAAATAAAATTGTATAAGTAAAATAAATTTTTTGATCATTAGAAAAATATCTAGAAATAAGTAAACACATTATTTTGAACTGATTCACTAATGAAGGAATGTTTTGTGAACAATTATCATTTTTAAATATTATCAATTTTATTATGATAACAATATTGATAACTATCAATTTTGAATTCATTGAACTAACTATAGTATATATTATATATACAGTTATATTACAATTGTATATCATCAATGAATTAATGGTGCTTCAGCATTTTAATGTTGGTTATTCATTGAAAACGATTGATGTAGTGTCAATAACAATAACTTGCTTTTGAATAATTTACTGAAAACATACAAAATTTTCCCTATAAAAACAATTTAATTGAAAAAATATTAAAATTTATTAATCAATTTGGGTTTGTTACCCAATTCAACAAATTGCAATACTAGTTATGTTATAATTTGACTTAAATCATGTCCTATAGTAAACATTTTTCAATTGATGATGCTTTCGAAGATGAATCATTAGATGAAATTAAAGTGATAAGTTCGAGTGTTGAAAACTCTCCTTTTCAATATCCCAGTCAAAACAGAGTTCTCAACTATGGTGGAATTATGCATGATTCGGTAAAAAATTTAAAATCATTAAAAGATGTAAGTATTTTACAGTATTAATATTGTAAAATAAACCTATTAATTGTTTTTCTTTAAACTATTGTTATCATAACTGATTAAATTGTAGACATCTCATGATAGAGATTCATTAATATGTAATGGTAAATTGTTATACACCAGTAAAGAAAGAGGATGGTGGCATCATCCTCAAGTTCGTGAAAATTGGCGTGTTGTACTAACTGTCATTTTATTACTTTTTATTGGAATAGGTAATGGTATATTATAACTGATAATTTTCTAAAAAATAGTATCTTGCAAAAGTAATATATTTTTTTATTTTAGGCCTATTGTCAGTAGCAATTGCTGTAGTGTTGATTCCAATTACTAATTATAACGCATTAGTTTTTTTTATTGTTGGTTTTATATGTTTTATACCAGGAGCATATCATGTTGTCTATATTTATCTTGCAGCCAAAGGATGTCCAGGTTACAGTTTTTACAGTTTATCATTATTTAACTAATGATATCTGAACAAATTGTATTATTACTCTCTATATAATAATAAGTTATCTTGAGTTTTATATTTTTAATACATTTTATATTATACTTGAGTAAAACATTAGTATTTGGTTTAAAAAAAAAAAAAACTTAAATTAAATTCAAAAAATTATTGGTTGATTTATTAACTAACTAAAAGATCTTTGCTTGATTAACAATTAATAATATATATACTTTTATTTAGTTTGCACTTAAATTCCCTTAAATTCTATTTTTATATTGCAAACTTTCACTTAACTAATAAACTATATAGAGAAGACTTATTTTTATACAGTAATTTATAAAATTCCATTACTCATGTACTAATATATTTAAATTACGCAATATTTATTTATAGTTATATTGAAAACTCAATATTTTATATTAATTGACTTTATTATTGTTTATTATCTTTTTATGTAAAACATCTTATTTTGTTATATACAGAGTGATCCACAATGTTTTCATAAATCTATTAGCTTTTGATTTTCTGATATTTTTTGTAATATTTTTTTTATAATTCATGCATTTTTAGACTAATCATATTTCTTAATAAAATCATATTTCTTTATTATTTGTTTTTAATAATGAAAAAATTTAATTTTTTTTAAATAGTACCTTTTAGAGCTATGTTAACTAAAAATTTTATTGTATCATTAATAATTTTAGGATGATTACTTATTAAATACAAGCATTTTAATACATAGATTTTATATATAATGCATATTCCACTCGTAGAGCATACACACTCTATGTATTAAATTGCTTGTAATTCAATAAGTACTCATTCCAAAATTGTTATTGACCCATTACAATTTTTGTGGAAAAATTCATTAAAAACAGCTATTTTAAAATTAATTTAATTATTTTTTTATTATTTTAAAAAACAAATAATCAAAAATTTGAATTTAATATAATCCAAGAATGTGAAAAATATTTAAAAAAAAATTAAACAAAGTATTTAGTAAATCAAAATATATTAGATTAGTTAAAACATCATGGACCACCCTTTATACTAATCGATACATTTCTGTGATTCTGTACCTACTTTTTTTTATAAAGTCTATAAAGTTATGTTATGTAAATAAAATTAAAAGATTTACTACTTAATTGTTTGATTATTTTACTGAATTATTTCCATAAATTAATTTTGGTTCTTTAATTATGAGCTAAGGTATTAATACTTTTATATTTTTAGTTTGTTTTGATAATTTGTAAAAATAATATAATTTTCTTATATTTTAATATTAATTATAATACATTTTACCATAATGCAAAAAATGATATGTTTGTATTTTAGTATTAATTGCATTTAGTTATTACTATATATTGTGAATAATAAACTTTTTTGGTATATGAAATGATTTATTAGTTGTAATATATCTCTAACTGTATCAAAATTCCTTAACTTAATAGTGTTGTATTATTTCATAAATAATATTTAATTTTTTATACTTTTATATTCACTTAGTAAATAATATAATACTTTTTAATAATTTCACATATATTTCTTTATGATACATTAACAAAGGGTTTTATCAATAAAGATATATTTTGTATTGATTCCCTAAACTTTTTAATATTATTTAAAAAAAAATATTGATCTAGCTTTTATTGAATTAAGAAATCTCTAGCCCGAGATGTTATTATTTCAATTGAACAGTTCAGTTCAGTCTTATGTAAATGAAAAAATATAGCTCTGAGCTAGTCCTTAATAAAAGTCTCTGGTTTGAACTCAGTCCTTATACTATATAATAAATTAAAATTCTAGTCCTCATTAAATTTAAAAAAACTTGTGCTAACTAAAACCTTATATTAATTTAAAAGATCTAACTTAGTAAATTTTAAATTCTTGCTGTGGTTCTTGAAGTTTTAGCTTCGATGCAAAGCTGAGAAGGTATTGGTATTACTATGATGCGTATTTTTTTTTTTTTGTATTTATTTCCACTTTTTCTCAGCTCTCACTGAACCTATTTCTTTCAATGATCCGTCAAAAGATCACAAATCGTATCTAGTCGAAGACACTACTCTCAAAAATTGAAAAAATTTCCCTCGTTCCCCGTAATGGGGGAAACCTTCAAAAAAATTACAAATGTTAAAATCGCTAATTTTCGAAATTTTTACAATTTTTTTTACTTAAAACTGTCATAACTTTTCCAATAATGATTATATCAATAGAATTTTTATTTATAGATGCATGATGTCTTTACCTTTCATTTGGTATATTTTTTGATAAATCTGACCCTTTACCTGCCCAAAGAGGGGGAATCAAAATGACAACTTCTTCACAAAAAATTTACTTTTTCAACTTGACTTTTGAAAATGTTCCGGAAATTCTGACACTTTTATATATATCTTAAATTAAAGCTAATATAATGTACTTTATTATGGAAAAAAAAAAATGTCGGATTTTATTTTTGTGTGAAAATTCTCGATTTTATTTTTTTAATTTTTAACTTAATGCTATAACTTATTGAAAAGTATATGGATCAACACAATGTTTTTATGAGAAATAATATTTTTTAATAATCCATTTTTCATTCGACATACTTTATCTTAATCATAATTAAATTTAGAAAAAGTTCTACTTTCTATATGCATTTTTCAGATTTAACCTCCACCCCCCGTATATAAGGAAATAGTCTGATTAAAAAAAAAAGAATTTTGAATGAAATATGTATATAAATACTACTTCTAATAAAAAAATTGTGTTGATCCATACACTTTTCAATAAGTTATAGCATTATAGAGTAAAAAATATAAAATCGAGAATTTTCACACAAAAATAACATTTGGTAGCCATTTTCGCCGTGAAGAGAAAATAAAGTCTGAAATTTTTTTTTCCATAATAAAGTACATTACATTAGCTTTAATTTAAGATATATATAAAAGTGTCAGAATTTCCGGAACATTTTCAAAAGTCAAGTTGAAAAAGTAAATTTTTTGTGAAGAAGTTGTCATTTTGATTCCCCTCTTTGGGCAGGTAAAGGGTCAGATTTATCAAAAAATATACCAAATGATAGGTAAAGACATCAAGCATCTATAAAAAAAAATTCTATTGATATAATCATTATTGGAAAAGTTATGACAGTTTTAAAAAAAAAACCGTTTCCTAGAGAAGACATGAGAGGTCAATCACGGGATTTTCCCTACTTTCATTATCTGAGTACTATAAAAGGCGCGAGGCTTTATTGACAAATGAAGTGGTTTAGTTTTTATAATTTACAGTTTTACTATTAATTTTCATATATATATAAATGTTGATTAAAATAATAATTGTAATTATTTATTTGATAATTGCTTGTGTGATATTCATTTAAAATATTATTTATATATCAAATAAGTCAACTGAGTTTTGCTATTTACTTCGACTACCTGTCTATGTCTTTTCCACTAGAAGCATTACTGCTATGGGTTATCAGGACTAAGCCCATAAACAAATAGAAACTAAAATACTGGCGGATCAAATATTTGGCCAAAACATGAACAAAAAAACACTAATTATAACAAACAGACTTGTAAAATGTTTGATAGTCCTTGGGTGTTCGCTTCTCTTGCCATTATTCATGATGTTTAGTAATTCATGAATTTCGTACTACTAATAGTCAAACATATTGTCTATTATTTAAATTTAATAAATATTTTTAATATTTACACTCAAATGGACTTAATTTGATTTTTAAACATTACTTTTATTAAAAAATAAAAATTAGTGACCATTTTTATTTATGAAATGACGATTATGTGGTTTTATACATATTAATCAATTTTTAACACGCAATTTATTCGAGAATTTGTTAATTATATATCTATGTATGTCTGTCTTTCAAATTTGATTATTTAAATAGTCGAAAATAAACAACCGAATCATTCCCAACACTGCTGAAAACGAATGACTTTTTTTATCATTTTTCGATGAGATGAATATATGTGATTTTATACTGTAAAATTCTAAATATGAATTGGCCTTTAAACAACAATTTTATGGCTTAATTCACTTCGATTAAAAATCCTATCTTCGGCGATCGTAATGATATTTGAGTAATCTTTTAGAGTTTTCTTTGGAGTATCATTTGCAAATATTGCTCTCTAGTGGTGAATTTATTCGTGTTTCTCACAAAAGTCTTATCACTTACCAAAAAAATTCATTTGTTAATTGCGTTCTTGGCGAAACACAAAGAAAAAGTATACAATAATAAATTTATGGGAAGAATGAATGCACTGTTATATCGACCGTTTTGATGTGTGTTGTGGATTGGTTGGTCAGCGAAAAGGACCAATTCGTTCGCTGACGTTTACGCTGTCTCATTGGCGACCAGAATTTCGGCCAATCATTGGAAATAATTTTCCGACTGATATCCAATGTAAGTTCGCCTTTAAATTCACAATTTTTATCCGCTTACTTTATCTAAGACTAGTGTTTGATGCTTTCTTGACTAATTTCACTGTTCGACTCGTCTCTATTACAGCGATTTTTCGCTTTTCTTAGTTGTTTCCTCCATTTAACCTATGCTTATTAGTTATGCGTACAACTATATTTACACATCACAACCGTTCATGTATAGTAGATTCGCTAATGGAGAACTTTAGTTGTAGTCAATACCGTTATGTAAAACTTAGAACTATTTTCATAGTGTAAGTGATACACTATGTAAATTAGTTTATTAATAAACTCAACATTATTATCGTTTTAGGTTTAATACTTACTGGTCAATCTTGCTTACTTTACTTTTAATTATTAAGGTCCAATTTCTTTATTATTTTCATGCTTTACCTTTATTATCTCAAATACCAATGAAGCACTAAATACCACAATAAAAGTTGTTTATTCCTTAAATTTAGTGTAAAGTTAAATGACATTCATTTTTAGTATGCATAGTGAAAATTCTGGTAAAGATTTTTTAATTTAATTTTTTTTAATGTCATAATATATAATTCACAAGCTGATCAATTTACATTGCCCTGTTTACACCATATCGGTGTTTGAAAATATTCCTATTATTAAAAACTATTTTACTAATGAAATTTAACAGTTATATTATATCTTCCATAAGTAAAACCTTAAAAACATTAATTTTTATACCTCCTTTATGTGTTATATAATGTACATATATTGTAGATTCAACTTATGGAGCAACAAATAAATTCAGATGGAGGGGGAAATGGAAATCACATGACAGTTGTGCAGGCTATTCCATCATCTAATAATCAAGTACAAGTTGTACAAGCTGGTCAAGTAATACAAAGTACGAATGGACAGCAAATTGTTGTACACGCAGTTCCTCAAAATGCAGGGCAATCGGTACACATAGGCTCACAAGGAAACCAACAACTGCAATTACTACAATTACCTGTACAAGTAATTAATTTTATTTGAAATATTTATCTTCTTTACGAGTCTCAGTCCTCTATTTCTTCATTTATTAGTTCATAAATATATATGTTTTAATTTTTTATTTAATCAATCCCTCTGAGATTGATATTTTATTTATTTATCACCATAAAAATTGATTTATATAATATAATGAAGTTAAATTCTAAACTATAGAATGCAAATACCAGTCCACTTGTAATCCAACAACAGACTCAAGCACAACTCATTCAAACGCCAGATGGACAAACTTTTATATATCAACCAGTAGTTGATAATACTCAAGCTCTTACTCAAACTCAGCCACAACCAACTCGTAAGTTTTCAATTACAATTAATAACTTAAGTTAAAAAATAACAATAAATTTTTATTCAATTGTTAGTTATTAATATTAATGGAAATATTATACAATTGGCAAGTGCACCAAATACTTCACCAACAGTTACTCCAACTGCATCTGCTGTTACTCAAAGTCAACAAAATATTGTTATGGTAAGCAAGAGTAACCAGTATTTAAAATTATGTAGTTATTATAGATTAGTCATTGACTATATTTTGATTTTAAAAATTAATTCTATGAGTACTAAGTTTTAATATAACAAATTGTAATCAGTGTAAATTTTATTCACTTATTATAATTTTAGAGATGACCAATTTATCTCTGTTCTATATTTACTATAAAAATCTTATTATATGATATTATTAGATGGTTCCAAATAATACTAATACTAGTAATAATCAATTCCAACGATTACCAACTACTGCAGAATTTCTAGAAGAAGAACCTTTGTATGTTAATGCTAAACAATATAAAAGAATATTAAAAAGGAGACATGCTAGAGCAAAATTAGAAGCTGAAGGAAAAATTCCAAAAACAAGACAAGTAAGACAATTTTATGCATTATTTTATGTTTTAGTTCACATTTTAATTTTTAAAGTAATTATTTTTACTAATATTTTATTTGCCTAACTGACATTAAAATATTAGGAATGCGGATAATTTATAGAAGGATAGCTTATATTTTTATGTAATTAAAATATTATAGGATTACCCTTTAACACTTACAAATGTTTTATTTTAGTATACAGAATGATTCATTTAACATGAATCACTTAATTAATCGAAAAATAAAAATAATACAAGATGATTCTTTTAATGCTAGCCACTTCATTTCTCTTAAAATAATTTTTTTTTTTTTTAGTGTTTGTTAGTTACATATGTACCTCCATTTATCTGTTCTATAATATATTTATGTTCTTGTTCTATCTCTTATGTAAATGAGAGATGTCAACTTTATTTTTTTAAATAACATACATATTATCAAGCTTATAAATTAGAAAAGGATCTAATTAAGAAAAACAACAACTCTTGACAACAGTATTTGGGAAGTTATTAATATTTTTATATTTAATCAAGACCGGTAAATTAATAGTGATGAAAATAACATCCCATGTCATGCCTTCAGTGGTAATAATAAAATTCTAAAATACTGGTCAAAAGTTTTTATTTTTTAGTAATTTTCTTAATTAAATTATTATCTGTTAAATAAGCTATTTAGTTATGTATGATGCCATTTGAAAAAATAAAATTTATATCCTTAAAAAAGTATAGGGGATGAACATAAAAAAACTTGCATATAAATTAAGAAAACATGTACCCTTTAAAAACTACAAAAAATTCCGTTTTATTTTTGATTAAGTAGTTCATGATAAAAGAAACACTCTGTATGTACCTACCTGTATATATAGTTTCATATAATTCTATGAAATAAATTTTCTTAATTTATGATTAAATGAAAATTTCTTATGGTTATTAATATAATTGTTTTCTAGAAATATTTATATGAATCACGTCATAAACATGCTATGAATAGAATTCGTGGAGAAGGTGGACGATTTCATTCTGGTTCTTTGAAAAGAATGAATGTTACAAGTAATAAGAGTTTACAAAATGAAGACTGCAACATTCAAATGGACAATCATAGTTACCATGTGACTATTAAAAGACAAATTGAAGAAGACCAACAAAATTTACAAAGTCATAATGGTTTAGTTTATAGTATAAGTGGTTAAAAAAAAACTACTATGTAATATACTGAAACATTGAAAAATTATTATTATTATTACTATTTTTTTTTGTTAAGTAATGTTTAAATTAGTTTTTTATTTAAATTAATGATTAAATTTGAATATGAATATATGTATAATAAAATAAAATGTAATCATTTATTTTCTAGAAATTAAGTTTTATTCCAATAAGGTATATTGAAAATCAATTGTATGTATTAAAATGCGTCTATTTATTTTATTTACTAATCATTTCTTTAAAGCAACCTTACTTTGTCCAATGTAAATTACCAATTTTATAAATAAATTTAAATATTTTAAAACTAATGTAATAAAATATTTTGAATATTTAATATATACAAATATTTAGCACTTCCACATTATTAAATAGTAGAAAAATTATACATTGGCCAAATTTTATATAAAACTCGTCCATTTATTAAACCTTTAGGTACAGGACCATAATCCCAAGAATCAATTGAATTTTTTTGGTTGTCTCCTTCTAGCCAAACAGATCCTTTAGGAATCTACAATGAAATTTAAAAAATTAAGAACATTTATTAATGAATTAAATCAAATTTTAATATACTGAACATCCCTAATAACAATTTTTGAAAATCGCTATCTAGGTTAAATACAATACAATAAAATTTTTTATATAACAATACCAACTTCAAATTTTTGATAAAGAATGGGCAGATCAGTTGTTCATAGTCAAATATTGAAATAAAGATAAAAAAGCAAAATGGTGTTTTAGGTTGTAGTAGTTTCTTGTTTCTCTTGCTACACTAAAATATTTGGTTGTACATATAATAAAATAATCAACAAACCATTAGATATTTTGTCCCTTTCCTGATAGTTTGTCCATCCATGGCTCTTACTCTTTTAATAACAAATTGCTTATAATTGATAGGTGACTTAGTCATAACTATATCTCCTTTATTAATATCATTGAAAAATGTTGAGAAACGTTGCACAATAACTATATCTCCTGATTTAATAGATGGTTCCATTGAGTTTCCTGAACACTAATCAAAATTGAGATGTAAAATACCGAAAATTACAAATACAATATAAAATTATTCAACAAGCATTTAAGAATTTCAGATAATAAACAATAAAACATTAAGTGTTATAGTTTAAAATTTTTTATTTTAATAACTGTATTAATTATAATAAAAAGTAAATTCTTATAAATTCTAACCATTTTTTTTTAATCTATTCATAAAAAGTTATACATACTACTACTACATCCAGTATATGTTCTGATATACAGTGAGCTACACAATAATACTTGACACTATTAAGAAAAATTTTAATAACTTTATGAAGCATTGATGTTTGGAAGGGTTCATTCAATAAATCACTTTAATGATTTTAAAAGTTGATCGTTAAAGTAAATTAATGAAATTTTGGCAATGACAATAGAACATTAAATTAATTTTGCAGACTAGTAAGCCTGCAAAATTACAGATTTACTATATGTTTTACATAACTTAATAAGATTTTTTACACCAAAAATACACACTCAAGCCAATGAAACAACTCTTTTATTGTATAGTTCACTTAACGACATAAAAATGTGTGCTTAATACTTTACTTCAAATTTTTTATCTCTTATCAATGTTATTTTATATAATTATTTAAAAAATATTTTTTTTAATATTAATATTTTTAAATGACACTAATCTATCTTAGATTTCTGTAATTGACTATTTAAAAATTCATACTATAAAATAATTAATAATTATTATATTATTTATAACAGAACAATTATATGATGTTATCGAATCAAATGCATCATGACTGATAAGATGTTGACTATGCATTTATTTTAGTTTGAAAGTGAACTAGCAGGGCCAATTGGGTCGGCGAAAAGGAAGTGTGAAGTGTGCTCCCTCACGAGGTCACACATTAAATACTCCCGCAAATTTGGCCAATCACTCATCAAAACCTCAAAAAAATTACAAATTTAGAAATTGCTAATTTTAGAAATTTTTTCAATCTTAGCTAAACATCATGGATTATTTGAATTGAACGGTTCAGTTCAGTCTTATGTAAATGAAAAACTATAGCTCCGAGCTAGTCCTTAATAAAAGTCTCTGGTTTGAACTCAGACCTTATACTATATAATAAATTAAAATTCTAGTACTCATAAAATTTAAAAAAACTTGTGCTAACTAAAACCTTAAATTAATTTAAAAGATCTAACTTAGTAAATTTTAAATTCTTGCTGTGGTTCTTGAAGTTTTAACTTCGATGCGAAGCTGAAAAGGTATTGATTTTACTATGATGTGTTTTTTTTTTTGTCTGTTACCACTTTTTCTCAGCTCTCACCAAACGGATTTCTTTCAACGTTACGCCAAAAGATCACAAATGGTATCTAGTGGAAAAGACATAGACAGGTAGTCGAAAAACTGTAAATTATAAAAACTAAACCACTTCATTTGTCAATAAAGCCTCGCGCCTTTTATAGTACTCAGATAATGAAAGTAGGGAAAATCCCGTGATTGACCTCTCATGTCTTCTCTAGGAAACGGTTTCTGACCACAATTTTCTGAATCCCATCATGTTATACCACAAAATATAATTTTATATTTTAAAAGACTATTTAAAAATAATCTGACCACAACATACATCACTTTTTTATGGTAGCAATATTTTCTACAGGGGTGGTTACCCATCTGAAGGTATTGTTCCGAAACCCGCATATATCTTAATCCGGCCCTGCATTGGTGGTGGTACTGTTTAAATCGGAATATTTTTGTTTAGTAGTCTGTTATGAATGAATTACATTGATTCCATGATGACTTTACAAGATATTATTTGAATTCGACTTCATTATTTAAATCAAATGAATAATATATTATTATTTTAGCTTCGATGAGAATGTATTGGTTTTACTATGATGCCTTTTTTTTTTTTTTGTGTCTGTTACCACTTTTTTTCAGTTCTCATCGAACGGATTTCTTTCAACGTTATGTCAAAAGATCACAAATAGTATCTAGTCGAAGACACTACCCTCAAAAAATGGAAAAAATTTCCCTCGTTCCCCGTAAATGGGAGAAACCTTGAAAAAAAAATACAAATTTAAAAATTGCTAATTTTCGAAATTTTTTTTTTAAAACTGTCATAACTTTTCCAATAATGATTATATCAATAGAATTTTTTTTTATAGATGCTTGTTGTCTTTACCTATTATTTGGTATATTTTTTTTATAAATTTACCCCTTTACCTGCCCACAAGGGGGGATATAAAATGACAACTTCTTCACAAAAAATTAACTTTTTCAACTTGACTTTTGAAAATGTTCCGGAAATTCTGACACTTTTATATATATCTTAAATTAAAGCTAATGTAATGTACTTTATTATGGAAAAAAAAATTTCAGACTTTATTTTCTCTTCACGGCGAAAATGGCTACCAAATGTTATTTTTGTGTGAAAATTCTCGATTTTATATTTTTTACTCTATAATGCTATAACTTATTGAAAAGTGTATGGATCAACACAATTTTTTTATTAGAAGTAGTATTTATATACATATTTCATTCGACATTCTTTTTTTTTTAATCAGACTATTTCCTTATATACGGGGGTGGAGGTTAAATCTGAAAAATTAAAAATTTTTTTTACTTAAAACTGACATAACTTTTTTAAAAATGACCAAATCAATATATATATATTTTTATAGATGCATGATGTCTTTACCTATCATTTGGTATATTTTTTAATAAATCTGACCGTTTACCTGCCTACAGGGGGAGATTAAAAATGACAACTTTTACATAAAAAATTTACTTTTTCAACTTAACTTTTGAAAGTGTTCCGGAAATACTGACACCTTTATATATATCTTAAATTAAAGCTAATGTAATGTACTATATTATGGAAAAAAAAATATCGGACTTTATTTTTATGTGAAAATTCTTGATTTTATTTTTATATTTTTAACATAATGCTATAACTTATTGAACAGTTTATGGATCAACACAATGTTTTTATGAGATATAATATTTATATCCTTTTTTCATTCGACATAGTTTATCTTAATCAGGATATTTATAAGGAAATAGCAGATTATGTAGCTTTTGGAATAATCCATCAATTTTTTAAAATTAAACTCTATTTAAAAATTTGCATCGAAGCGTTTTTTTTTAATAGTGATTTTAATCACTGTCAGATATCATTATACTTGATCCAACTATGCCACGTCACCACTATGCTGGGTTTTTTTTCTCATTAATATCTCTTTTGGTACTCTATCATACGCTATCTTCAAATCTATAAATACTATATACAGTTTTTTTTTGTTTTTTCTATACTTTTATATTAGTTGTTTTACACAATAAACTGGCTCCATCATTGACTTTTCAGGCGAAAAACCAAACTGATTCTTTGTTACTAATGTTTGCCCTCTTATTTTTTTGTCTATTACTTTATCCCAAATCTTCATACTATAACTCATAAGCCTTATACTTGTATCATTTCCACACTCCCGTATACCACCTTTGCCTTTAAATATCAGCACCACAATATTATTCCTGCATTCTTTTGGCATTACACTTTTTAATAGAATTTTATTAACCTTGATCCTTCAACCACCTAATATTTTCCATAGTTCTACTGGCATTTCATCTGGTCCAACTGTTTTATTCAATGATGGCACAGCTTCCTTTATCACTAATTAAATCTACCAGTCCCTAGTTCCATGAAATATTCTCTACCCTCCTTTGTCCCTAACTTATCATAACTCTTATACTTCGCCTTACTTACTGTACACTTGGCTTCTTTACACAAGCGTTTGTACTACAACCATTGAAAACACGCTAAATATGAATGTCTAACTACAATTAAAATCAACGTAAGCGCTGTGTAGCGAGTATCATTGTGTACCACATAAGGCTTTTATACTAGCTTTGGTGTGCTGCTTACATGTTTAATTTCAAAAAATACTGAGTTCGTCATCTTACCTTACTAATGTTTATAAATAGTAAGCTATCTTAATATTTATAACCATTATTAGTATATGAATAATATATTTAACCTAATTTTTAATCTTAAAATACTAGTAAAGTTGAAGATATATTCGTTCCTTTGCTATGACATTCTTATTAGTGAGCAATATAACATCTAACCTGATGTTAGTTAAGCCGCGTTTATTGAAAAAAACAAATAGAATATCTACATAAGAGAAGTTACTGGATTTGTAGAATATGAGATGACACCCTTATTATCCTTTTTAGGATTGTTATTAAGTCTTGTACTAGATCCAAACCTTTAAACCTTTAATTAATAAAGAGAGTTAAAAACATATAACTTCTAAAGGTTTATTAAGCTTACTTGTAAAACCATTAGTACATAAGACTTACAGTCAATTATATTGCACTGCACTATGTAGATTTTTTTTGTTTTTTCTTAGCATATAAATAACTTTGCAACTTTGGTTTAAATTTGGTGTTAATGGATTTTCATTTCCTCTAATAAAAATATAGTCTATTTAAACACCTTTAACAGAAATAAACTCAAATTCCTTAGCACAAAAAAAAAAAACTATTTTAAAATGTTCTCCATAGTTCTATGTCAATAGAGTTAAATTTACTAAACTAATTTAATAAAACATTAAAAGCAATAATAAATCACTATATTAATCCAATATTTATTATTAATACGATAAACTTAATATATCCAAGATATCCAAGATATCCACGAAAACCATGAACTCTTTCTTTCTTTTTGAATTTCTTCTTTCATATCTTGAGATTTTAATTTTTCTATCTGAAATTATAGTAACAATTAAAAAAACAAAAATATATGTTAATAAGTATATTAAAAACTTTAATTTTTTATTTTCTTGCAACTAAATTACTTTTTTATTTGTATAATTTTTAATATTTATTACATTAAATATTGTTATATTTAATATACATATATTTCTTTCCTCAATATTCTGAGAATACTTTTTTAATTCCTTATTTAACCTAAAAAAATTATTAATAAATCTCAATACTCTTGGATTAAGGATTCTATAAGAATTACATTGTTACTTAATTTTTAGAATTTATATTAAGTTCAAATTACCTTTTGTGCATGTTTTAAGTTTAAAAATGGCTAAATACTTTTTATATATATAATTATTATTAAAACTTATAGTTATTAAATTTAATCATATAAAAAATATTTGTTGAAAAAAATTGTGGATTTGAGTACTCATCAAACAATTTTATCAATTGTAAAAACAGAAATTTACTTTTAATATTTGCTGATGATTTCGAAAATGTTTAGTCGGATCATCATATTGTTTATAATTTTTTATAACTTCTCTAACATCTTCGACATCTTTTATGAATACAGCTGCAAATTCAAAATTTAATAGTTTACCTATTAGAACTTCTATATAAGTTTTAAAACAATTTACTTGTTAAAAAATCAGCAAGATCAATAAGAGAATTGTCATTATCATCACCATTCCATCTAGGTATGATTAACGTATTTCTAGGGTGAAGTGAATTCCAACTTGTATTCCAATCAATAACAATAACTTTAGTTAGATCCCGATTTAATTTTTTTAAATTTTTCACTAAATGTCCATTATGAAACTCAGCACACTGACGAGATAATCGATATTGTATCCAACCTAAAGGATCAGTTTGATCCAGTATAGGAAATGCAATCTAAAGAATATATACATGAAAATTTGATTTAAATATATATTTTCTTATACCTGAACAAAAGAAAAACTATAATTAAGAAGGTTTTTATTAAAAACTTTGACTAAAATTGACAGGGATACACTGGAGAAAGTTAGGGTGCATATTGTTAGGAAAATATTTTGGGTAATATATTATACTATCCAATCAAATTTAGTCTTAAAACCATGTTTAAATGATATTTGAATTATATTCCAAGTGGTGAAAAAAAATTTAAAATCTTATAGGACATTCTTTGAATACAAATCTTTAAGCATTAAATGTACTTACATAACCATTTTCAATGGTAAAGACAATTACTTCAAAGTTCTTCCCAACTTTTTCTAAGAAATAGTCAACATTTGGTCTTTTTTTAAAAGTCCAACCAGTGCTATACTTCAAAGATATTTATATTATACATAAATTAAATAAATTATATAAATTTTTATTTTCTTCAATAGTAGATTAAAATAATAAAGGGTAGAGCAATGAAATAAGCGATTTTAAATAACTAAAAAACACAAACATGTATTTTTTTACAATACCTGAAATATATAAAAGAAATATTAAAATACTGTTGATTTTTCATCTAATAAAGCAATCAACATTAGTTAATGTATCTTAAAAAATTAACTTTATGAACTATTCATATGATACTATAATTATTCTTTTTCCTAAAAAAATTGTGTCACATCTATTTATATAATTGTTTGATATTTTCAGGTGCCCAAAATTAGGTTTCTTAAATTCTTCTTATAATATAAATGTAGTAATCTTCACAAAAAACAGTTGTTTAATCAAGCAAATAGATAGTATGGAATACCCCTATTTTCAAAAAATAACAGTGCATAATTTTATTTTTGTTCAATGATTCATGATAACCAATTGTCTAGATATATGGATTATAAATTTAAGACTATAGACTTCAATATCAACTTTTGGACTTAATAAGAGTTAAGTTCCAGAAAATTTACCAGGAAAAAGGAGTTCATTTTTATATAATTTAACACAAAACCTGCTTTTTTTTTTAAATTTTAAAAATAAATGTCAATAATAAAAATCTAAAATTTGTAATTAATTTTATACAATTGAATACTTAAGATATTAGATTATGGTACAGCAAATATTCAGGAGGGTCTTAACCAGTGTAACCTCTGATCCTGCCAATGTTTTATATAATTATTATAAAATCACTTCTTTTACTACCCAATTAAAACTATACAAAATCTTACATTCCATTCAGCATGTACTAAAATATCGGTCATCTCAAACACTAATGTATGCATTGGTGTGTCATTATAATCAGGTGGTAAATCAGGTAACAATTTGTTACTAACAGGAATTGAAAGCAACTAAAATAATAATGATAAAATTGTAAATTACTTTATTTTATTATTAAAAAAATATTTTCTTAGTGTATACATATATAAAATATTTATATTGTTTGAAAACAAATTTAAGAACTATTGAGATATTTTAAATAACTCAATAGTAAGTCATAACATCAAATTGATTTAAGATTTAAGGTTATCATAGTTGGAGCAAATTAATCACTTACTTACAATATTTGTTTTTAAATTCATACAATAAAAATATATATGTATATATTAATTTTAAAGATAATTCTTTAAACATGTTTACCTACATTGTTATAAAATTCAATACGAAATCGTAAACGTTCATACATTTGTATAATCAAATGGGCTTTTTTATTTTCACGGTTTATTATTTCTAAGTCATCATCTTCATATACTACAAAAAATAATCAAATTTAATAACTAATAAAATTACTCAAATAAAATTTCAAAAAAATATTACCTAAGGAATATAAACAATAGCCTACTATTGTAGATAATGAAAACAAGACTGTTGCTGAACACATTTTTATCCATTTATTGAAATATAAATTGTTAATTTTCCTATCGGTTATGTGTAACTTAGTAGATTTATATTTACTAGTCATAAATTCTATATACAATATTAATCATTAAAATTATTTAGAATAATCAATAATATTTAGTTGAACTTCTTACTTCTAGGAAAGCTTAAAATACATTTTTTGAAATTACATACTAATCGAATTGTTTTACTACAATTGCAACAATTCATTTTGAATATTAAATTGAATGTTTATTTTACTCCAACTTAAAAATGACAGTCTATTCAATAATTTTTATTTATTTCATTTTGTAAAAAGTAGTTCCCACATCCATAATATTACAGCTATCAACAGAATATTAGTATATAGTAAATTTTGTAAATGAACAAAAGTTATTTTATTTAAAAATGATTAAATCATGAATTTTATCAATACATGGGTTTATATTCATCGATAAAATATTAAAATAAGTAAAAATTTCTCAATTATACTGTTAACTTTTATCAATAGTCAAAATTTCATAGATAATAAGCTTTAGTTATCTATATTATCACAGACTAGATGAAAACATAGTCATAGACTATGAGATCCCTCTTTAGTAGCTTATTTAGGAATTTTCTATGTAAGGAGCTCGTATAATTTTTATAACGTCGATTAGTGGGAACCATTACTCCTCAACTGTATCATAAAGTTAAGGGGTTATAATCCTTCCATAATGATTAACAATGTGTGTATTTTATAGTCGAGGTAACATCACTTTTTTTGCTTATTAGAATTTTCCTAAAATTTTTAGTGAGCAAAGAAAAAAGGTAATAATCTCCTGAAATTATTGTATTTTTGCACTACAGAGTATTACCTTTGGTATTATTTATTTATATTTATACTTTATAGGTATTTTATTAATAGGTAAATTCTACAAGACTAGTGAGACCAGCTATGATGTATGGTTCAGAGTGTTGGGTGGTTGATAAGAAAGTAGAGCAGAGATCAGAATGCTAAGATGGATGAGTGGAGTGACTAGAAATGATAGAATAAGGAAAGAGCATTTAAGAGGGAGTATAGGTGTAGTGTCAATCGTGGATAAGATGAGAGAAAATAGACTTAGATGGTTTGGTCATGTTATGAAGAGAGAAGAATCGGAAGCTGTAAGAACAGTTATAGAAATGAATATTGAAGAAAGAAGAGGTAGAGGAAGACCAAAAAAGAGATGGAGAGATGCTATTGAATGCGATATGAGGCCAGATGATGTGAGCGTAGATAATGTGGGAGATCGTGTCAAGTGGAAGTTTAGGATAAGGGGGGCTGACCTCAAGTAGTTGGGATTAAGGCGAGAAATAAAAAGAATTAATAGGTATTTTTGATGATGAATTTATTTTTGTATTTATAAAAATTGACATTTAAATTCATACTTTTAAAATTTAAAGTACTTATGAATTCACTTATTTGAAAAATAATGGTTATATTCTTATTTGGAATTTTGAATTTCAAAACCCTGATTAAATATATCCTATAAAACACATATTATAACATTTTACGAAGCGTAATTTCATAAAATACAGGTAAAAAATGGTACGTTCGGATTCTCTCCAGCAGAGTGCGTTTTGTAAGTGTATCGTGAAATACTCATTTCATAAATTTATAAAACTTATCATAGTAAATTACTTTATCATTTAATTTATCAAAAGTATTAACCTAAAACTATTAAGGATAAATTTTTGTAGTATTAATGAAACGTTTTTTGTTAACAAAATTTATTGAAGTAATTTACTTTAACAATATTGTTACTGTGTACTAAAATTGTTAAATGCACATGTCGTGAAACTTATTGTAAATCACAATTGTTTTTACGTTTTAAAATGGGTGTCATTGAACATTTAGTTATAGATACTGCCGGGTTTATTGAAAAAGCGCCACTTCAAGATTATGCTTCAAATATCTATACTATACAAGAAGTAATAAATGAAGTAACTAATAAAAGACAAAAAACAGATTTGTCATTCTTACCGTACACATTAAATATTTCAAATGTATTCCCTGAAAATATAAAATTTGTTGTTGAATTTTCAAAAAAAACTGGTGATTTCCCAAATCTTTCAGTTACTGACATCAAAGTAATTGCTCTAACTTATCAAATTCATAAAGATAAGTATGGTACAGAAAGTTTAAAAATTGAACCACAATCCAAATCAGTTGTCTTTGATAAACCTATCTCTAATGAAAATAAAATAATTGGTTTCTACGACCCAGACTCTGTTAGTGATGATATTTCAAAATTAACTTTAGATGAAGATGATGGGTGGATTACTGAAAACAGTTTGAAACATGTGCTTAATAATAATAAATTGAGAAGTGAACAAGATTCACGTGTTGGGTGTGTAACTACAGATTATGCTATTCAAAATGTTCTTAAGCAAATTGGACTAGCAGTGATTGCCATAGATGGTCGCGTTATTAAAGAACTTAGAACATATATACGGCGTTGCTATGGTTGTTTCAAACTTACTACAAATATGACTCGTATGTTTTGTCCAAATTGTGGTAATAAAACTTTGAAGCGTGTAGCTGTTTATTTAGATGAAAATGGAAAACAGTGCATATATATTAATGAAAAACGACCTATTAATTTAAAAGGTAAAAAATTTTCATTGCCTAAACCACAAGGAGGAAAACATGGAGTTAATCCAAGATTAGTTGAAGATCAACCAATGCCACATCAACGACCATCTAGATTGGCCAAAACTAAGACTAATGCTTTAGATCCTGATTATACAGCTGGCTTGTCTCCTTTTGCTACTAGAGATGTTTACTCTAAATCCGCTATGTTATGCTTTAAAGGTTCCTGTCAAAAACAATGGATGAAAAGAAATCCTAATGAAGTAAATAAGAAATGTAAAAAGTAATCAATATTAATAAAAATTTATATTGCTTATAAATTATATCTTAAAATTTTTTAATTACCTAGAGTAAATATAAATTAATAGATTGATTATAAATATATTTATAAAAACTTCTACATTTTTAATTCTGAATTACAATAAAAGATAACTAAGTATTTATAGAAATAGAATTTACTAATCTTAAAAACCTTTAAATTATTTTAAGGTAAATAATAAATTTACAACTATTCTATTCATTTACATTTATCCTACGTCACTATCTTAAATTATATTTATTCGTATCCATTTATTATTTAAGTTGGTTTTTTATAACCCTTTGTTTAACTATATATGATTCATTAAAAGGATGTTTGTAAATTTCAAATATCGATCAGTTTGTAATGACATTGTAACCTTGCATCAGAAAGCATTTGGGACTTTTTTTAGTTTGTTATAATTATTGCTTTGTTTAGTTGAAGTTTCAGCTTAACTATTTAAAGTTTACTAGTATTACTAGTCATAAATTTTACATATGCAATATTTATTATTAAAATTATTTAATTAGTTGAACTTCTAGGAATTTTTAAAATAAATTTTTTGGGATTACCTGTTTATAGGGGATAAGAATATGTCCATGGCCCCATTGCCAGTCGTAATAGGCGACTAATAAGGTTGCATCAGGTCAACACCCAGCGTAAAATTTTTTGTCAAATAGTATGAGGTGTCTTGAAAATTTTTTGGGATTACATACTAATCAAACTATTTTACTACAAATGCAACAATTCATTTTGAATATTAAATTGAATGTTTATTTTACTCCAACTTGAATATGACACCATTCAATAATTAAATAAATAATTAATTTAATTTTGTAAAAAGTAGTCTCCACATCCAAAATATTAAAACTATCCACAGAATAATAGTATATAGTTAATTTTGTAACTAAATAGAAATCCAATGTTTAATTAAATTTATTTCATGAAATCATGATTTTTATCAAAATAGCTAAACTACTTTATGTTTAGAGGCCATTATAGTTGATCGCCAAATACATTAATTAGCTATGGAAATAAAATTAACAAACTCGATTATTTTTCTAGCGATTTATGGATAAATAATCTAGATTATAAAGTTGCTAAGTTAAATTAGCTTATAATTTTATGAAATTAAATTGTAGATATGGTATAATATCTTTTTCACAATAATAATTACATATATTAAATTGCAATATATGTTAGGCAATTCCCCTCTTTTGAATAATTTTACTTTTTAACCAAAAGATTAGTGTATACCAGTCAACTTTAGTTAGCCTATTATATACAAGGGAATAAGTTGCATAGCTGTATTGTCAAAGTGAATTTTTATTTTTTTACTTATGTTAAAAATTTACGAATGAATAATAATTAATGAATAATTATATATAATTGTTACTGCTTGAAGCTTGGTGTATGTGTTCTCAGTCTGCTACATACCTACCCTATGTATTTAAAATGCTACAATACATTAACGGTCAAAATTTACAAAATTGTTTGTAATTTTTTTTTTGTTAAAAATAAAAGTTATATTAAGTTAAAAAAAAGGATACCTATTTAAGAAATTAAATTTTTAACCCTTAAATGAAAAAAAATTGATTAAACTACTATATTTGTTATAGTTTTTTAAACTTAATTATTTTTCTCTTTACAAAAATATTAAAAACTCAATAGTTAAGAAATTGAGTGTTTCACCAAATTTCTGTATAATTAAATAGAATGAGTTTTTTACTTTGGAAAATAATAAATATTAACCACAAGTGATTAATTCTTATATAAATATATATCAATTTCAGATATTAGATGCATAAATAGTGTATCCATTAAATACACTTTATATTTTCCAAATTATTGTCCCATAAATTAAAGAAAATAATTATAAATATATAAAGTGATTGTACTACAATAACAATCGCTCATGATATACTCACAGACTATATTCATGTAATCTATGATACACTGAGCAATTTTTAAAAATTGCAACAGGTAAACAATAATGCTTTGCGAGTTGTTCTACACGTATCATATTTTTAGTAGCTCCGCAGTGATTAAATCAACGTATAACTTGTGAGCCTTAACCCATATTGTACCTTATCATATAACGAGTGTATTTTATTACTTAGTTTTTTTATACAAATTCAATGAGTCATTTCGTCATGAGTTTTTAAAAACAATAATGTTATTGTTTAATTTGTGAATGACCTTAAAATTGTTCAAATTTATCAAAAATGTAATTTTATTCACGTTTTATCTAACGAGTAACATTATTTCCAAATACTGCATTTTATATATTTTAAATGAATATTATTCCATTAGCAATAATAATTGAATATATTTTATTTGTGCAAAATAAAATTTTAATTATTAAAAGCAGAAAATGAACTAATAAAACATCTACAAAAGTTTTTCATGTGTGGTAAAATCATAACATTTTTGTTAATTTAAAAAGATTACTATTACAATAAAAGAAAACGAGGAATAGAAATTATTTTTATGATTTGATATTAGTCAATGGTAAAATTTAAATTAATTAAGTTTTCATGTTATTTATGTTAATAAATATTCAATAAAAATAATGATTCAAAAAAAAAAAATCTTGAAAATACTATATCAAATTTAATATTTATTTACATAATAAATTACAAAATTTAATCATAATTATAAATATACAAATAAACATTTATATATAAATATAATATGTATGTATGTATTATATAATATAAATATTTTGTTCACAATGATTAATTAATACAAAATTAACATAGTCTATAAAATGTATTAAGGATTATATAGTAGGGATGGTAATAATAATTCATAAATAGTAATCAAACAAATATTTTGTTATGATATAGTACAATACTATACTTGTTAATTTGTTTTCTAGTATGATGTTAATTATATTCAGTTAATTAATTAGGAATTCTAATATAGGATAAAAAATTAAGTAGAACAAAATTTAAATACAACAAAAATTTGTCTATCATTGATATGTGTACATTAAAAGCTGTTAAAATGGCTAGGAGTAACAAATAATAAAAATACCATTTTGGCTATAGATTTCCATCTGGAAAAGAATTGGTACTATTGCTACGCGCTAAGCTTAATATACTGCCTGATAAACTATCTTCTTCTAATGACGAAGCTTCAGCTATTGCAAGGGCACTAAAAGTATTCACAAAATAATATATAATATATATATATTTTTAATTTACTATATTAAATCAAAACAAACCTAAAACCAAGTCGTGTAGATTCTTCATCAAACTGTTCTAACTCATGTTCTTGCCTTTCTCTTAGAAGACGAATGCGTTCAGCTCTTTCTTGAAGAAATTGAGCAGTCTCCATTTCCATCTAAAAAAATTAAGATTAGTTTTACTAAATTATTCTGGGATATTATTAATTAAATTATGTAATATATTGACATATTATTTTTATATTTATAGAGACCAAAAGTTACGAGTTCCAAATATTAAATTTTATAGGAGTGTTTTTGGAATACGTCAAGTCACTATAGTTTTAAAAAATGTAAGTAACAAATAAAAGGTTACAATAATATGATTTATAATATTCTACTTAATGAAAAATAAAATCTAGAGATACCTAACGGATTTAAATATATTTTTTAAGGAAAAATATACAAAAACTTTTGGTGACTTAGTCATCAACAGAAAAATATGCCATTATATGGAACAATATACTTAAAAATGAAAGAAAAATTAAATTGGAAGAGTTAAAAATATAAGTATATGTGAATTTTTACTTTTTGTTCCAATAAAGATCTTCGTACTGAAATTCGATCTTCAAGTTCTTTTTTTTCACGATTTCTCTGTGCATCTGCCTGCATTTTATTTTTTGATTGATATGCAATTAGTATTTCTAATTCATATCTCAAACGTTCTTTGAGTACATGACATTCTACTTCTTGTGATTCATCTAAGCGAATCTAAATTAATAATTAATTTAAAAGGAATGTTAATTAGAATTATCATCTATATCAAATAAAACTAGACTAACAGATTGTTTTTGCAACATTTCTGAAATACTTTGTTCATATTGTTCTCCTAATAAAGCTAACTTTCGTCGTTGTTCTTCTTTCATCTTTTTAATGACAGTTTTTTGTTCATCTTTGGTGGTAGTCGCTAAAACTTGAGCTTTCAGTACTTTGTACTGTCGAGTTTGCGTTTTACAAGTTTCTCGAAATTGTTTTCGAATTTGCATTTCTTTTTGCTGAAAGAAATAATTTGATAGTACACTAAACTTTTAACATTAAACTAAATGTCATAAATCTTTAATAAAAAAAAATTGTATAGTAGTCTTAATACAGATGTATAGATATATGAATAAATTTTATCACACTAATTAAATAATTATAACAAAATATTATACTTTGAGACTTTTAGGTTGTTGTCGCAATTGCATAGCATGCCTTTTTCGTAAATCTCGATGAGCACGAGCTGAATAGTCATGTTGGTGTTGCAATTCAGTTTCATGTTGTCTGGTAACTTGGTCAGCACGTAAGGCATGGACTGCTCTTTGTTGTCTGGTTTCTAAATTTCTTGTATCTTCATGATGTCGTAGTAACATTGAATGAGCAGTTTCTAATTGATGTTGCCTTTTACTAAGTTCCTATAAATCATATTTGAATTAATAGCATTATTATAAATCAGTTTTTTAACTAATAAATTTTAGCTTTACAGTTCAACACAGTTATAAGATATAATATAGATAACATTTTAGTAAATAAAAATATTTTAAACATTAGAAATTTGTATAGATTTGAGCTTAAGATTTAGTAATAATTACTTCTCTTAACAATCCTTGTTCAAATAAATGAAACTGGTTAAGTCTTTTTCTACGAAATTTACGTATTTCAAGTTCCAAGTAGTCTTTTTGACCTCTTATAAGTCTGTGTTCCTCTTGAGCCTCAATTTGTTTGAGATTTTCTTTTTGAGTCCTAAAATTTAAAAAATTAAAAAATATATATATAATACATGATTTATATATATAACATACTGTAAAACAGCATCTTTTTGTCGTTTTGGTGTTGACTCGTCTAAAGAAAGTTCACGTTTCCAACGTTCTTTATTAGTCTTATAATCTTTCTTTCTTTGAGCATCAAATGCTTTACGATCAGCTTCTTGTCTATTTGTTATTTCTTTCATTATTTTTTTTTCAGCTGCACTGTTTTGTTTCATCTAAATTAAATATTTATTTTCAATGAATATTTTAAGTAATTTAAATACAGTTAAAATAAAAATGTATAAATTAACTACATAAGGAGTAGATAAAGCAATAGATGATATAATTATAAACAAGATTAATTTATTGTGAACCCCACTTAATTAATCGAAAAATAAATTAATATTAATTTTTTTTATTTGCTTAATGTTTTTCTTAATTTTTCAATCATTAAGTTTTTTTATATTCATCCGGTATACCTTATACACTATCAACTTTAATTTCCCAAAGGCAACACCCCTAATTAACTAGCTTAATAGACACTGAAATAATTAAGAAAATGACTGGTCGGTAACTTTTGGACCAGTATTTTAAAAGTTATTGACATATTTATATCTAAGTGAGAGGAAAAGTGTGGCCAGGAAAAGTTTAGTTATAAAAATAGCAGCACCCATTCTCATTTCCAGTTATTACTTTAAATTATTATTAACTTCTAAAATACTGATCTAAAAGTTATCGACCAATTATTTTTTATTAAATTTAATATTAGATCATTATATATTAAATAAGCTATTTAATAAGAGGTGTTGCCATTTGAGAGATAAAGTTGATATCCTTGTAATGAACGAGGGATGAACCTTAAAAAAATGATTTAATAATTGAAAGAAATATTGAACTAAAAAAAAAAAAGCAAAAATATTGATAATATTTTTTTTATATTTCAATTCATTATAAGTGAATCATCCTGTATAAGATTAAAGAGACTCTTTTATACAAGTAATACTAATTGAAAACAGTATTATATAAGTTTATTCTAAATTCTTTTATTAAAGTAAAAACAACATTTAGAGGAAAATGAAACTAAAATTTCACTTAATCATATTAATAAATGTTTGTCATTACATAAAAAAAATTAACACACTTACTAATTTGTAGAAGTAATAATAATTTAAAACTTAAATTAAACAACAAAAAAAATCCAGGAATGGTTGACAACATTTCAAAACTAGTTAAAATCTTCAAAAATCAATGTAATTTATTGAAAGTGTATAAATAATGTATACTACCTTTTTTTCTAATTCTTGCTGATGTTTAATTTGTATTTTTTCAAGTTCTTTACTGAATTGTTGCAATAATGTTTCATATTCTTTGTCTAATAACTGTTTGTGGCTTTCCATTTCTAACTTGCATCTATCTTCAAGCTAAAATTATAAAAAAAATACATTTAAATAAAGGTTGGATTAAAAACATATTTTTTGTTTACGTTTAAATATATAATGTTATCTTAAAATTGAGTTTAACATTATTCAAAATGTTAATGTTATTACATTTTAACATTTAATGTTAACTATTTTTTTTTCATAGAATTAATTTAAATATAACCTTTGATATTAATTAATTAAATTAATTTTTTTTCTAACAAAAATTGTTTTAGATTATAAGTTTTATTATTTTTAAAAATATTTTATAATTAATTATATCACATATTTTTGGTTTTTAAAATACTTTTTGACAAAATTTATTGTTTTAAAAGTGATAATTATAACATTATTCATAACAATTTCTTGCCCTGCATGTACAAAATAATTCAATATTCTAATATACAAAGGAATCAGTTTTTTCTTCAAAAAAAAAACCTCAATTTTTAGTAAACTAAAAGAAAATTTGAAAGATATTACTGCAGTATATAGATATATTCCAAAATTGTACTTTTATTAATGCTCCTTGGTGTTCTCTTCTCATTCTTTTGTAGCCTGACATCTGTTCGTGCATTTCTTCTTGCATATGTTCTTTTTGTTGTTTAGTAACAATAGAAGTTGTTCGAATAGTTGCAAAATTATTAGGTGCTCCAAGTGGTATGTGTTCATTTGATACAATGGAATTATTACTTGATTGCTATAATTAATAAATAAACTAATAAGTAAAGTTAGTTAATTTGATTTTTAAGTATAAATAAAAAATAATTTATTGTGCAGTGCATGAAATTAAAAAAAGAAATTCTACAAAAATAAAAATCAATAATACTTTGTGACGATTCCTAGCTGTTGGATAATGATCATTAGTGCTCATATTAGTGATTTCGTTCATGTTTGGCGTACTATTAGTGGAACTACTATGTGATGAAGCACTGATACCAATTGATTGAATTGAATGTTCTGAAGTAATACTATTACTTTTACTGCTTTCACCTCCTGTGTGTTCATCAGCCGTGTCTGATATTACATTTATTAAGAAAAGTATATTGATTTGTTATTTCAACTTTATAATTGAAACAACAAATTATTTTAAAATTACATACCATCAGTATCACCTACAGTGCTCTCAGTCTCATATGAGTCAACCATCAGAATTTTCTTCATTTTTCTATAGTTCAGGTTATCCAAATCTCTTACAGCAGCTTTAGTTCGTTGAATTAGATCAATAAGAACATGGGGTGATCTTGGACGAACTAACAATTGATGCTATTTAATATATAAAAAAAAGTAATGATTACTTACTATAAAAATATAATTATTATACTGTGAATTTAATATGGCTACAACTCAAAATAAAGCTTATTAAGATGCTGCGGTTAAAAAAAAAAAAAAGGCTAAATTACTTAATTTTTAATAGGAATTAAATAAAATTTTAGAAAATAGTCTTTCGATTTAAAAAAAAAAAAGATTTTTGATATATGATATTTTTAAATCATTTTTAAGATATAACATATTGCTAAATCTTATAATCATAAGGTACATATATATATATATATATAAAGAGCATATGATTATTATTATTGAATATGATTAGTTTATAATTTAATACTAAATATTAAAAAATTAAAATTTACTGTCAGAAGCTTGGTAGAAGATGGACGTTCAGATGGATTTTTTTGAAGACATAACTCAACAAAATGACAAAATGTGTTACTCCATTCAGAAGATTGAAGAGTTGGAGTATCATTTTGAGCTATATGATAAAGAGCACTCATTGCATTCATATTGAAGTATGGTTTTGTTATGATATAGNTATATGATAAAGAGCACTCATTGCATTCATATTGAAGTATGGTGGTTTTCTTTCAGCTAAAAAATGGGAAGTATATAATATTAATAAAATAAAAATTATTTAATAAAAAAAATAGTATATAATACTACCAGCTTAATATTTTTTGTCAATTAAATGAAATTAATAAAAGTAAGCATTAGTATAAATAATTAAAAATCAACAGTAATTTGTTAAGTGTTTAATTTTGCTGGTTTATTTTTATTTAAATAAATAATAATTTTCAGTTACTATAATAAAAAATTATATTTGAGCATAGGTATATGTAGGTTTTTAGTTTGATATAGGTTAACAAATACAACAAATTTACTCTACAAAATAGCCATTTTGAAAATTATTTTATCTAATAAATAAGAAAACTATTATTCATTATATGTTTAGTTTCAATAAATAACAATTAAAAAAAACCCATCACAGTGGGGACGTGGCATAGTTGGGTCCAGTATAGATTTGATTACAGTGATTAAAATCACTATCATAAGAAATGCTTTGATGCAAATCTGTAGATAGTGTTTAATTCTAGGAAATCGGTGGATAATTACAAAAGTAACATCAACTTCTATTTCCAACTCCAGTGAGAGGTAAGTAAAAATGGCAACAGACAAAAAAAAAAAAAAAAAACAATT